AAAACTCACATTTAATTTCATAAAAACATCACAAACCTTGAATTGCCTGATTGTACATCATCATCACTGTGGAAGCTTCAAGAGGTTTCACAATAATTTAAGTGAGAAAAACAGAGTCCAGAAAAGTATGTGCAGCAAACAAAAACAGTCTCTGATAAGTTTAAATGTATTTTAGCTTATTGTTATAACTTATTTATCTTGTGTTTTATATTTGGGAGGGGCATCTAAAGTAAAGGTAAGATATTTTACCTGGGAAACCTGTTTTGATCTTTTAAATGTAACTTATTCGCTTCTAATGAGGACCGAGCCCTGGAGGAAAAGACACAGACACTGTTTTCTTAATGCTGAGAGTCCAGCTAAGCTTTGCTCTGTAAATGATGCAGCAGTTAAGAGATATCAGTAGTTTTACCTGAGACTTACATCACTTGTGTCTCCATGCATTGAAAACCTGATAAGATTCATACAGAAACTAAAGAGAAGTAAGCCTCGTCCCTCCGTTGCACAGGCACTCCCGACATTCTCGGGCCTGGAGCATAATTTCCTGTGACAACCTCCCCAACATGTGCAGCTTTGCTCTCAGGTCTGGAACGTAAAAGACGATTTTTTTCTGGTCATTAAACGTCACTTTATACGTCACACGGCTCAAAACGGTTTATCCTTTCTCCCTCGTACTGAGGGGACTGAGGAGACTCGTCCAGCCTGACTGCCTTGACATCCAGGTGTCTTCCCTGCTTGCCCTGATATGAAGAAACCCGAGAAGCCTTGCAGGTCAAATCTTATTAATCATATCTATTATGGCCACTCCTCTCTAAATCGTGGTAGTTGTTGATCTGAGATGGTTAGAGCTAAAGGCTAGAGCAACCTATTAGAGCTGTTTGGGCTAATATAGATTTATACCCAGCTTTATATGTTTATTGTTTTACAAGGGTTTAAAAGGGAATGTCCACAGTTTGGATTTGATTACAACTGCTTGGCAGGAGCCAAGCAAAATAAAATAAATAAAAAGAATAATAAAGAATAATCAAATCACCTCAATTCAACTTATTTAATTAACCCACTGAGGTAATTCTGACTTTGTTCTTGTCTTTAGGGGGGGAGAGGCTGGTGGTGAGAAGATGTGTTCCACCTCAGTGCTCTGTGTTCATGGAATTAATCAGGAAAGCAGGATTCCTTGATTGATCCCACTTCTCTCAAAGCTATAATCAGCTGAGAAAACCTTGGAAGTCTTGAGAATCTTCTTGAGAATAATGGAAGTCGAAATCCTTCTCAGAATTATAATCCAACACAGTAATTATGATGATAATGATGATGATGGTGAACAGAAATAAAACCAAATCAAAGTCCAATCTGTAATTCCAATCTCTCCTTCATGCCTATGGTGGAATTTCCAAAGGCGAGAAGTAAAAAATTCAGAGATCAGTGTCTAGTGTCCTGTGTGTGCTCTCATTAACACACACACACACACACACACACACACACACACACACACACACACACACACACACACACCCCTGATCAAAAACATAACCTAACTGTAACCCTGACACTAAAACCACATTTTGAGTCTCAAACATGTCTTCAAACTCACGGGGACCAGAATTTTGTCCCCATAAAAAACTGTTGGTCCACATCAGTATAGTAACATTCCCACTTTTGGTTCCCAGAAAGATATCTAAACATGGTACACGCACACTCACACACTCATGAAAGTCAGACTCTGTACAGGCTCTCAGTGACTCCTGTTATTAGAATCACTGTTATTCTACTTTGTGAGACAGTTAAATAAAGGTGTTTATTTTTCTGTGATAGATTCATGTTTAATTTAGTTCATTTATTTGTTGGAAAGAGTTAAAATGTATTAGACAAGATAATAAAAAGGGCAGCACTGATTGAAAACCTGTCTAAAATATGTGATTACAAAATAAGTGTTTGTTAAAAGTTATAAGGTGCAAAGTGCTGTGAAGTTTGGTTGAGGTAGAATTTGTGATGGTCACATGACCAGAGCTTAGCTAAGAGCACAACCATTGCATTGTGGGTCAGCACTAGCATGGATACAGAGGTGCAGATGTATTGCATTTTTTTCCTGCAGGGGCGATCGTGGCTCAAAAGTTGGCTGTTCGTCTTGTCATCAGAAGGTTGCCGATTCGAGCCCCGGACAGTCTCGGTCGTTGTGTCTTTGGGCAAGACACTTCACCTGTTGCCTACTGGTGGTGGTCAGAGGGCCCGGTGGCGCCAGTGTCCGGCAGCCTCTGTCAGTGCGCCCCAGGGCAGCTGTGGCTATAATGTAGCTTGCCATCACGTGTGTGTGAATGAATGTAGTGTAAAGCTCTTTGGGGTCCTTGGGGACTAAGTAAAGCGCTATACAAATACAGGCCATTTACCATTTTATCATTCCTGTTCTGCTAGTTCAAGACTGTTTATGGACCCTAATATGAGATTTTCACTGCTATGCAATTGATACCCACTTTTATTGGTTAAACTGCAGGGATGTCTTAGATACACAATGAACTCTAAATCTCTTTATCTCTGTTGTGAACTTCACATGAAGTTTGTGTTAACAGAATCAAACTGATGCAGATCTCCTTTGAAAATACACACTCACTAGACAAAATAAAAACAGACTGCTCAAAGTAAAAACAGAGCTCCCCCCCCATGTGCTCTTTTAACAGCTGGTAATACAAAACACAGTGACAACGATACCCTCACTACAAAAGCACAAGATATAAAAAATGGGGAAAAAATTGCATTCTGGGGGTTGTTACAGTGAAATAAAAACAAAAAACAAAACACAGACATCTGAAAATGTTGAATTTTAGTAAAAACACTGCTTTGTAGCTTGATACTGTCATTACAGACAAAGTGAATATTCAAAGCCTTTGGGCGTTCATTTGAAATGCAGTAAGTGTCCTTATCAGCTGGAAGTATTAAAGCCATAAGATGACTTTTGAGAGCAGCTAAAAAACATTAAACAACAGCAATGTTGAGCCTGTTCCAAAATTTAAATGTACATGCGTTGAAGGTGGGAGATTTGTTGAATTATTAAACACATTTTTCTTCAATCAGAGGCTTAAATATCAGCCTAGGGTGGCTCTATTTACCATTGTTGAGTCAGTTATCTTTTTGTGCTACTTTTTTTGAAGGATTGTGAAAGTGGGGATACATGCTCCTGGCTGAGCATTTCTGCTTACATCTTAGAATCTCAGTTTTAAATGAAAGAGTGAATGTGAAGTTCTAAATGAAAGAGTGTGTGAGGGTGTTAGTTGTGTTGTCCGAAAACAAGCTTATCTACAATGTGTCAGTAAAGAGTGACTTGCACTTCTGGTCCGTTGAGCAATGGTTTAAAAAATTTTACTGCAAACTATAAAAGGAACCTGGATTTAAATAGAACATAGTAGTGTCGGATGTAAGTGAAGGCAATACAAGTATAAGGTGTCTATGGAATACATCTTCAAGGTTCACACTGACCAAGTGGAGAGCTACAGGCATTTCTCTCAGTCAGCTGATTGTGTTTAGGGAAAAAAAGTAGCTAAGTACACTGTTATTGCTCCACGTTGTTAGTGAGGTAACTCTGGATGTCGGTGGGTTTTGTTAAGGTTGGTGTAAACAAAAGCAGAAAAACAGTAAAAGATGCAGACAGTAAAAATCTGGTTTATTTCATGATTACAATGAAACATTTTCACAGTTGTTTCATTGTAATCATTTTTAAGTAGCATACACGATAAATGGATACTACAACATAACACACGGCAGTGAGAAGAAAAACTCACCATCTTACCAGTTTTTATATTCTTATAAACTTAAAATAAACTAGTGATATTAGAGTTTAGTGTTTTAAGTCATCTGTTAAAAAACATGAGTTGACAGTTTTTTCTACCAGCATCATTACTCAAGTTAAATGTACTGCTGATGCTTATACCATTGCGAAATTTGCTAAATAAATATGCTTAAGAGTCTTGTGTTGTTTGACATCCAGCTAAAAGGTTTAAAATAAATAAATAAATGAATGAATAAATATATATATATATATATATATATATATATATATATATATATATATATATATATATATATATATATATATATACACACACACACACACACACACACACACACACACACATACACACACACACACACAGTGGGGAACTAAAATGCTCAATAGCATTATTTTACATTTAAATTCAATACATTTAAATGTAAAATAATTTTAAAGAAATGTTTGAACTAATAATATTGATTTGTTTATTTGTTTTTTGTTTGTTTGTTCATTTTTAATTTTTGCTCTTTTCAGCTTTGTTTTCGGTTTATGGGTTTTTTTTGTCATTTATATGAAAAAATATTACATATACATAACTGTATAATTGTTTAAATGAAATTTAAAAGAAAAAGAGAAAGAGAAAAACAACAAACGCGCAATATTTTTACTGCTATCTTAACCACGTAATTCTGCAACATGAACACCATTTCCCACAAGCCCTTGATGAAAGTCTGGTCGCTTTAGCGGCTGTAGTCCAATAAGGTGAGGGTCCTCCCCTATCTCCGCCAATTAGGACTCTGTTGCTGTCACTGCTTATATTTTTAGTAAATTGTTCAGCACCATATGAAACTACAAATATCCCTCCACCATAGAAACTAGTTCGCGCTGGGTCATTTATAATGTTCTAATAGCTGGAAAAGCGCACTCCCCGACTATACAGTGGGGTGTTTGGCTTTTTGGCTATTCGAGAAAACTGATTAATCAACACCATGCTATTTGAGCAGAAATTAAGGAGTCACTTTTATTTTTATCAGCTTAAATTTGGATAAACTAAACCTATGAAATACAGATAATAATATAGTGGCGACAGGAGCACATTATGCTTCGACAGGAGCGTCAGAACCGCTATGTTGAAAAGATAATAATGGGAAGAAAGTAGTCCCTGTCGTCACGGGGGTGTGGGCGAGTCACACTGTATAAATACGCTGGGTTGTCAAACAGCAAAGTTTACTGGACCCTCCATGCAAACTGTCAGCTGAAGACAAAGTGGGGAAACCTTGGAGAGGCTTTCAATTATTTGGGCAGCTGTGGGGGAGAAAAAAAATATATATTTATGATGGTGAAAAAAATGTAAACTATTTCGCATCTGAACCAGTGAGTCGACACATGAAATCGGAGTCCTCGTAAGGGAATTTAAAAAAAACAAAGACAAGCTAGTACATCAGTGAAGCTAGGTGAGTAATTAACCGTCAGCCGGTGCGCGGGATTGGTTGCTTTTATGTTCAATAAAAAAGGACTGGATGTTACAGTCCCTGATAATGCAAGGACTTTAAAAAATGTAAACAAATATATAAAATTTGTTGACAGCGGGATGTTGCTGTTATTGTTCTTCTAGAAGCTTTAGCTGTCCGTTAGAGAAGGTGCACAGGGTTGAGCCCCTGGAAAGACACAGCTTTTGTTTTGCCCGAGCCCGTTATAGATTAGCTAAAGCGAGCCTCCCGGAGTGTGTTCAGCTCACGTTTATTTTCCTTCTGCTGTGCTTGCGGGGGTGTTTATGCCGAGAGAGAGAGAGAGAGAGGGGGCTGCCGCCTTCGTTCCTCAGATACTTGGTCGATAGGCTGCTCATCACTTAATTAGCTTTATAATTTAATTTACAGCGACAATTTGCCAGGGAAGGCTTCTCCACTTGCACATCAGCTAAACCAATGTCTTCTCTGGTCCACTGCCTTTTGACTCGCAAATGTCACTAATCCTTTCTCCAGGTAGACCTTAATGCGTTCTTGCAAACATTGAAGACATTTGTCCATGTTTGTCTCTTTTTTAAGGAGGCACATGTGCACAAAATTCCAAACGTAAGGAAAATTAAAGTAGCAGACAGTTTAATTTCTGTTGGTAAGTGAGGGACACGAGTACAAATTCCTGCAACATTCATATCCTTATTCTAGGCAATCATGCAGGCCTCCCTCTGCTGCCCTTATACACGGTTTTTTGTTTTTGTTATTTTCATAGCAAATTGTGTAGCTGTGCCGCTTGTCTGGTATATAGTGGATGTTTAGCAGTACTGTGTCAGCGCTGTACTAATGCCTGCATGTAAACAAAAAATACCACCCCAGATTCTGCTGATGACCTGACGAGAAGGAAAACAAGACTAGAATCAAGTCTGCCAGTGAAAATGCAAATGTTTCAGTTATGCAAGGTGGTGGGGCTTGTGTCTGTGGAAAGATTGGAGTCTTGTTTGTATTCCTCAGATTTCACTCTGAAAGCCACACATCTGTGGACAACAGCTGAGCTGTTTCTCTAATGTCATTGTTTGACATTGGATCTTGTGTATCTTGCTGCTTGCTTCCCTTTTTTTTTTTTTTTTTAAATGAGAGGTGGGAAATGCAGTAGGTGGCTTAGAGGTTTGTGCACTCAAGGTTTTTGGAGACACTGATGATGGCTGTTTCAGGTAAAAGACCGGTGCAGTCCTTTCTTTGTCAGTGTAACTCGTTATTAAGGTGAGGAATTTGCACCTCAGATGATGCAAAAACAGGGCCCCTACTTATAGCCTCATCCTAACAGCCCCCATCTTATCCTTCAATGTCACCCTTTTTTATGCAAGGGGAAAAATGCAAGACCTGTGGTTTTGTGTCACCCCTGCAGCCCTGCGTGCAGGCTGTGCAGCTTTATCTGTAGCAACATTAGAATTACCTTTAATCTGAGGCATTTTTCTAATCTTAGCTTCCGAATCCCCATCTGGCAGGGAAGTGAATGTGAGTGAATTGTTTGTGTGCATGTAGGAAGGAGGAGGGGAGGAGAGGTGAAGGGAGGGAGGGAGATGGGGTGGTGTTGAACACATTCAGTGCATTCTGGGAAACTGTGTTCTGTGGAGTCGGCTAACTGTCCTTCCATTTTACACATCTTCTCCGGTACATCCTTTTGTATTATGATATGCATATAATGTTGCTCTCAGTGGGAATGTGCATGGTGACGAGTGGACTCTTGTACGATTGTGTATTAAAGCAAGAAGCACTTCGTGCAATTGCATTCAGATTATGCAGGATTTACGAAGTGCACAGCATCTGTTACATCCATCCTGAGGCTGATAAACAGGAAATATAAAAGGGTAAATTTTAGGGATGCAGGAGTTATACTTCATATCACTACTGTAATTAAAAAAAAAAAAAAATACCAGTAGGCATTTGAATAGATATCCCGATGCTTGCACTGGTTGGCAGGTGCATGTATTATGCATTTTTCAGTGTTGTTGGAAGCTTATGACTCCATTAGGATTTTGGCTTTTTTTTTCTTCTTTTTTTTGTATCGAAAGTAGTGGCAGGAATTTCTTCTCTTGTGATGCATTATGTGTGGGTAATTGTCTTGTATGTAAGACTTGAGTTTTGTTTTTTGTTTTTTTTTAAAGCTCACTATAAAATAATACTCTGATTACAATCCCCCTGTAGCCCCGTCTTTCTGTGTTCCAAAAATACCACATTAACTGTCTGTTGTGAGAGATCAGCTGAAAAAACAAATTCCTCATTTTCACACAAAGTTATATTGCTCTTCTCTTCTTGTCTTCATAGTTGAGGACCTGCCAACACAAAACAGCCTGTAACCTGCAGCCTCTGCCTTCAAGGTGCCTTTACCATGGTGACACTAAAAGAATCAAACACTGCACAATAAGCCAGAGGGGGACAAAAAGATTTGTTGCCACTGCATTGCCTCACTTTCATCTCATCCCCTTTGAACACTTTGTTCCCACACTGGCACTAACCCGGTGCAGACATGCATCTGGAAGTGAAGGTCGCGCTCAACTTCATCGTGTCCTACCTGTACAACAAGCTGCCTCGTCGACGAGCCGACCTGTTTGGCGAGGAGCTGGAGAAGATACTAGTTTCTCGTTTTGAGGGTCACTGGTACCCCGAGGCCCCACTGAGGGGCTCTGCTTTCCGCTGCATTCACCTGGGTGCACCGAGGGACCCTGTGGTGGAGTTGGCTGCCAAAAGAAGTGGGCTGGACACGGAGGAGGTGCGGGCAAATGTTCCTGCAGAGTTGAGCGTGTGGATTGACCCTTATGAGGTGTCCTACCAGATTGGAGAGAAGGGTGCGGTGAAAGTGCTCTATCTGGAGTCCCCCCCTGGCCTCGGTTGTGACAGCGAGCCGGCCGAAGGGGTCATCAGAGAGGCTAAATTAGATGCAGAGGTGGAGGATGCCAAGAGCTTGGGCTTTAATCCAGATGCTCAAGTGTTTGTACCAGTTGGAAGTCAGGCATCTCCTTCCTTAATGCCATCCCTCTCCAGTTCTCCCACACCCCTATCTGCCCAGTCCTGCCCTGGAATCTTCAGCTACCCCAGCTCCAGCACACCCACCGATCCCAGCATCCATTCCTCCAACACATCTACTCCTTCTCCTCCGAGCGGCGGTCTGCCCTACCTCTCCACTCAGCAGCCACCTGCTGCTCTTCCTGCTGCCCGTCCACAGCCAATCACCTTCACCACTGCCAGCTTCGCCGCCACCAAATTCGGCTCCACCAAAATGAAGAAGTGCAGTGGGGCCGGGTCAGGGTCTGCAGGCTCTGGTGTCATCGTACCACCATCTCAGAGGATACTCTCCCGCTCTCCTACCACCATCTCAGCACCAGAGCTGCTTAAGCACAAGCCCCTCTCTCTCTCCTTGCACTCCCTCGGGGGTCCCATCCACAGCCAGCTCTCCCCCAACGCCAAAGAGTTTGTCTACCCTGGATCTCCAGGCCCTCTTTACTTTGATGCAGACACCCAGCCCATGCAGCCTCTTACCAGCCCTTTCCAGCCCTCGCACACTATCAACACCCACCCACCATTTGATCCGTTCTCCAGCCCTCCTGCCCAGAGCGTGGGCATCATTGGCAGCAGTGGAGGGATCTCTTACATGGAGAAGCCACCATTTGTTGAGGGTTTAGGAAGCTACAACCTGCAATATCCCAGCCAGTCTTTCCAGCCTGTCGTGCTGGCCAACTAAGCCTTCATTTGTAATAAGAATTGTTGCAGGAGCAGTTGGGTGTACGGCAAAGACCCTCCTGATATTTTCAGTTTTTCTAACAAATTGTTCTAATACTAATGTGTGTTAAGAATTAGTTTTACTACAAAGATTTACAATGTCCACTAAATATTTAGTGTGATTTGTTTGGTATCTCTAGAACCCGCCCCAAACCCCACCCTGCTCCTACTTCCTGTGTCCATTGCTGTTACCCGTTATTTGTATTTGTGTTGGCTTGGAATGGGTGCTTCTGTTTTTTTGTTTTGTTTTTTTTTGTTGTTTTTTTTTTTGTTGTTGTTTTTTTTGTCCACCTTTTTGCCGTCTCCAATTTCATGTTTATGATTTTGCAATGAATGCTAATGTGAGGTTTTTTTTTTCCTTTTTTCTTCTTGTTTTTTGGGACTTGTAGTCTAGTGGACTCTAGTATAGCTCCATTTTGCACTGCACTGTCATGCTGTGAAAAAGGACTTTGCCAAGTCCTGCAGGGAACGACGGCTGTGGAAAACTCAGCACTTTGCTCTGCAATCTGCTCTGCCCTACTTGCCACAAATACGGGGTGGGGTTGGTGGAGGGGCTCTGCTCTCTGTGCATGTAGTTCGCTTCTGTTTGGTCGTGGTTCAGAGTGATTGAGAGACTCGTTGCTTGCACAGTGAAGCCCTGTTACCTTTGAAACAACCTGACGCACGGGCATATTTCAAGTCTTGTTGGTGGACGCATGTTGAAAGCAGGTTATCATCAGCTGGAATGGGCACGTGACCGGGGTTTCAATGAAGCAAGGGCAGCTAAGGGGAGAATCGAGGCGCTAAGAGTAATGTAGTTGAATGTATTGTACCTGTCAAGGGAAATTGCAGCTGTGAAGGTCAGCAAAATGGATTTGGGGGTGGGGGGGGTACCTTTTTTTATGAATGTGAAAACAAATGAATCTTTTGAATTTTAAGGCGATAACCATCTGCTGATTAGGCCAGTTGTGCACATAAAGATGCAAATTATGGTTTCACACATATTCACACATATTCAAACATACACCAGTCAGCAGCATATGAAGGTGAACAGGCAGGAAGGATGAGAGGTGGGGGTGGGGGGGTGGGAATGCTGCAGTAGCTCAGCATTAGGGATTGTGATAAATGGCTTAGCATGACTTTGACTATGAAGGAGAGGCTTTCCTCTGCATGGACAGGAGGGAGGGAGGGAGGCGGTAAGAGAGAGAAGCAGCTAGAGGGTTCTGTTGCCCCCTGTGCCATTCAGGGTGTACTGGCTTAGAAAGCAACGCTTTAACACCCAGAGCACGTTTCTGATGGGCTTAAATGGTATTGAAGCCAAAGGCTCACTATTCTCTCAGTCCTCTTAAAATTCTCCAGCGATCTCTGCTCCTCCGGCTGTTGCAAAGGAAAAACCAGAATTGTACAGTTCAGGTTGCTCTCTTTATTTTTTTTTTTTTTTTTTTTTTTTTTTTTTTTTTTTTTTTAAATTTATTTCCCAGCTGCAGTGATGCAAACAGAGATGCAATGAGGAGTGTTCTTCTGTGGCATCTGTCGTGTCACTGGATAGCTTGTCAGAGATCTGATGTTTGTATTGGTGCAGTTTAACAGCGGGGCCTGATGTCATTGTTGGTTCGTCCCTGAAAGAGAAGGGTAACCTCCACATGTCCACGTCCAGCGGTCCAGCACTTTATTACCAGGCTCCCGATGCCGAACCGTTCCTTTGCCCTCCGTTTGGCTGTTGCACATTTTATTCAGATGTCATGAAATGCTTTGGAAACTCCAATGAGCTACATTTGCATCACAAACGGGAAAGAGATGCAGTCAGTCTCACTCTTGGTTGGCTGGTTGTTTAGTTTTTTGTTATTTTGTTAATGTTTTTCAGACTATAGATATTTTTGTACTAGAAGGACCCTTGTCTTGTCCTCATGTTGGTTTTGCAATGTGGCATTACTGTCATATGCAGCAAGCTTTAGTTGTTTTTGTTTCAGAGGGAATGAGTGGGTGAAGTGTACACCTCTGTAAATGTTACAGTTGTGAGGGAAAAGGCTTTTTTTTTTTCTTTTTTTCTTTTTGATCTTGAATCTATTTCCACCATTTTTTTTTTTTATATTAGTTTTTGAAAATGATCACTAAAACATTTGTATAAGACATGCAGAGTCCAGGAATATGTGTATAAAAAGTTCTTATGTTGAGATTCTTTGTTTAGTTTCTTACATGCTGAAGTTATTTTTTCAGAAAAATAACATGAATATATGCAAATTGAGACGTAAATAAAGATGTACAGAATAAAGTATTGAATGTTTATTGTACCTTGTACACCATATGTCTAATAAGACGGGTAAATGTAATCATTCTTCAGTTTGCAGTTGGAGTTAGAAATGTTTACAGTGGGTTTGTGTAGGAAAAGATGGCTGATCACCACTTTCTGTGCTCCGAGGGCAGTCTGACAGCACTCCTCCCCATAGGCATTACATTTAAACCAAAACAATGTATTTTCTTTTTTTTTTTCTTTTTTTATTTAAAAAAATTAATTAGTCCTATTTTCACGTAGCACACACTCTGTATATTATAAACTCCCCAACACTTTTAATTTATCTGCATTTCAATTCCCAGATCTGCTAATATTAAAAAGAACAAAATGTTCCTTCTATCTTTATCGTTTCTTTTTTTTCTTTTTTTCTTTTTTTTTTTTTTTTTTTTTTTTGTCTTGACTGAGCCACCCTTGCTCCATCAGCCGGATCCTTATGGTACTGATACTATAGCCATAATCCCTGACTGTCTTTACTTACACACCCTTCTCCAATTCAATGAAATGCCATAAGTTTTTAAACAACCCTGAAGGATTCAAGGGGTTTCTACCTCTCTCCAATATCTCTCTTCAATAAGAAGGCAACCGGTTTGGGAAAAGACGAGGGAAATGAATGTTGCTCTGAACTGTTGTCAACCCTGGTTTAGATTGTGTTAGGTTTATTTAATGGTGAAAACATTTGGAGGGATTCTTTGAGTCATGCATGACCAGAAACATTTCTCTGTACCCCTCACATCCTGATTAAAACCAAAATTGAAACAAAAAATAAGCATAGAGGCGATGGTGGTATTACATTTCCTAATAACACAAGCTGGAGAGTCAGCTCTTAGATATTTGAAAGAAGTAAATAAAGGGGGGAAGCACCATAAACCTGAATGCGGGCTGTTCTAAAATCAGGGTTGAGCAGGAATGACGATGGAGACAAGAATTTTGTATTCTGATGTCGTTTTGCTTATATTGATGTTTGCGTTTTACTTTGCACTTTGGGATATTTCATTGGCATAAAATAAATTTATTTTCTATGTAAAAAAAGAAAAAAGTGAATAAACATTAACCTTTAAGAGTAAAATGGATCTAATAAAATGTTCAGATGATGTATAAATAGTGTTTTCTTTCCTGCCTGTATTTTATTATTATTCTTCCTATTTTGTATCTGATCTGTACACCCTGTAGATGTATAATGAATATTTCACTACTGAGATGCAATGACCTGTTTTCTGTGCTGCCCCCTCGGGAATGGGGAGTTACTACTGCAGTTTCTTATTGTATGAGATCCTTTTTTAAGTTTGTAATAAAAACAGATTGGCAAAAAATTATAAGCATGGAAAAATTAAGCTGATTGTGTCGTCCTCATTTGTGCGTGACAGTGCGGGGGTGAGTCCTCCTCCTTTGTGGTCTCTGTGCGGGTTCAGACCCCTGGTTCGTGCGTGAGAGTCCTGGAGCAGCTCATTGCTCTGATTGCGGTAAACAGATTCGAGTGATGTTTGATCAATAATTCAAAGCAAGGATGGAATTCTCAAATGGTGAGCAGCCAGCTTGCTCACCAGCCCACCTCAGCTGGACCCATCCCAGCAGATATTACTTTGCATTTCATCACCTAGCACTCCGTCTGCCTGTCCTGCCCCGTGCTGGTGTCTGTGTACAGCCAGCTGGAAGGTTGGCTTGCTCATGTCGCGGTGTGACAACATGCATAGCTCTGCATCCTCAGCACCGCATCCCTCATTCTCTTTTCATCATCTAGCTATCTTCCCTCCCCCACTCTCCATCTTTACCACTACCTGATCCTTTCCACTGCTTGTCCCCACCTCCTGCTTCCTCGCCGTCTTTGCTCCATCTTCCACACACACACCCATCCCTCTGGTCTTTAGAGGCTGCTTATGTGTTACGCAATTCTGCTCCCCTGTCTGTCGATGTGATCATTACGCAACATCTCCTACTCTGCTGGAATACTGATGAGCAGCAGGAGAGAGGTAATGGAGGGACAATAAAAAGGGGGGGGGGAAGATGTGCACTCAGGGGGCTTGTGTTTGTGTGTGCGCGCGTGCAAGTGCATCAAGGATGAGGACAATGCCTTCATTTATCCACCAGCTCCTTGTGTTACCCGACATTTGTCACACAGCCGCCGCAGCTGGTCAGCAAATCAGGCAAGGTCAAAAAGACAAGGCCACGTGTCGGTAAAACTCCAAATTTATTTCATATGCATAATACAAGATACAATTAGGACACGATACTGCAGTTGCATGTATCCAATACATGATAGGGACAATACAAAAACGAGAAAAAAACCCACATTTATATAAAAATCAGAACAGAAAGCCAAAAACACCACAAGTCTTTAAAAATGTTTCCAGAAAGAGATTTAAAATGGTTTTCCGGGAGCTACTTCAAATAAGTAAACAAGGACACGGTGTTGTCAATGCGAAGCATCTCAAACCAGTGTCAAGAGTTTCAAGCAATAACCTTAAAACTGAGGTTTAGATTGGAGATCTAGTCGTGCTGCTCTGAGCACACCTACAAACACCTGTGCGCACACACACTTGTGCCAGATGTTCTCTGTCAATTATTTGTGCATTTCCAGGATTCTAGTTTTCCTTAAATATTACCCAAAAGTAGCACAAAGGGTTTCACAAGTGCAGGAGCCATCTTTTGTCAGTAGGTGGCAGAAGACGCACCTACATCCAAAAGTCATAACTGCAGGTCTGCATGCAGAGAATTGGGGAAAAACTCCAACCTCTTTAAAAGGAAAAATGATTTCATAAGGAGCTTCACATCAAACAGAAACTGCTACATACTTTATGCATCACTATACAAAATATGATCTTTATTTTATTGGCTTCTAAAAACCTCTCGTGGCCAGTACCAGTTTTTTCTTTTTAAATGTCCAAGTTTGCATTCATCAGCTAGACTGATGTCTAAAGCTCAGTGCAGTCGATGTGACAGAAAAAAAAACCCCCAAGAACCAGCTGTTACAATACACTATCAGGAAACTCAAATGATCATATTAGCAATCAAGAAGACAAGAAAAAAAAAAAAAAAAAACACACACACACACACACAAAAACAAACAAACAAACAAAAAAAGCACCAGCTGATTCCTGTGTATCCAGATACAGATCAATCTATAGCAAATTTAAAAAAAAAAAAAAAAAAGATAATAATCCACAGTGATTAAAAGATGCTGCTTTCAGCTGTTTTCACCACAAGGTCAAGCGCTGGCTGCACAAGGAAAGGCGGTGCTGTCATAAACAAAAGGACATCGCAGCAAAGATGCTCTGCTTTTTTGTTTTTTTTCCACTGTTCTGCACAATACACCATCAGCCCACGTCATCCCCCCAAAAACCAAAGAGCTCTAGTTTTCAGTAATGGTTCACAGACATAAGTACACTTGGTATAAAACTTGTTTTTTTTAAAAAACAAACAAGGAACAGAGAGAGAGAGAGACAGACAGGTTCACTGGGTTTCATGCATTAAGATCTCGGACTACAGAGAATTAAGAACTGGAAGCACGAATGATTTTGGGGCATTTCTATTTAGTACATCATAGTAAGTATACATACAACATCACTACTGAAATCAAACTAGCATTACATAACAGAGTATTATTGCCACATTTATTTTCTTTCCAGGATTATGAGCACAAGCTGGCTGATAAAAATCAAAAAGAAAATTATAAGTTTGAGATACAGAGTCCCATAACAGTCTGCAACATATTTACTAATTAAGATTCACACTCAGAAGCTTTGGCGGAAAGAACTCAGTTTATAAAGTCGGATTTAAGGTTTTGCCAAATGGAACTAAGCTGCTTTGTACGTGTTCTTTGCTTCAACCAACACTTTGTAGCCATGCTCCATGTTTTACCTTTCACAGTAGCAAGTGTTGGACGAGGTAAAGGAAAGTGCACCCTGTCCTTTGTGTGTTCACAACACAATACCCCCACCCCACAAAAAATAAAGCCCACATTACTATATAAACCTGTTTTTAAAACAAACATCCAAAAGCACAGTTCACCCTTTGAATTCCCTGCTTTGTCATTGGTTTCATTATATAGGTATTATTATTATTATCCTAAGGAGAAATAAAATTATCTGACACATTGTTTGTACATCACAATCAACAAATGCATCATTACCCAAGAATAAATACAGCACTCATTCAACTATTTGGCAAATATAAGGAATATTGTAGGGTTAATAAAGACACAGAGTCCCCGTCTTAGCAAAATAAAGACCAGGAGACATATTTACAAGGTTCAGAAACAGCCGACTTTGAGCCTGCTTAAGATAAAAAAACAAAAAGCAACCAATCAATCCAGTCCTCTCGACACCATTAGGCAGGCAGTGACTCTAGCACACTAACTGCAGTGTGCAGTAAATAAACATCCCAACAGCACTGTGAAAAACCCTTAAACCCACCCCTCATTTCTTTATATTTTGCTTTCAAGGAGCCACATTTTGTTATTGTTTAAAGTAGTCTTGAGCAATAGTTCTCCAGGATTTCTAAAAAGCTCTTTCAAAGTTGATTTTATTTTTTGTTTGTATTTTTGTTACTAGCAGTTGTCACAAAACACATACTTGTTTTAATTTTTTGTTGAATCTACGCAAAAGATCAAAAGTAACAGTTTGATGGGCATTAAACAGTTTTCAGATCTTGTTACTATTGATGAAATTATGAAGGCAGAAAAGTACTGTTAGATTTTGAGCCATCATACAATACTATGTGGAAAGTGTCGTAATTGGAAACAGCTTTATTTTTCAGAATGGCAATCATCTCAAACAACACAGTGAAAGCATACCTGAATAGAAAAACATCAGTCATGGATTGGCCTCCCCAGAGCTCAGACCTCAGCATTATTGAAGCAGTGTAGGATCATGTTGACAGAGAACATAACAGAAAGGCAGAAACATCCAAAGAAGAGCTTTAAATGTCCTGGAGAACTATTCCTGAAGACGACTTAAAGAAATGAGAAGAAAGCTGCCTAAGAGAGATCAGGCTGTGTTGAAGAATAAGGTGATCCTTCCAAATATCAACTTTCAAGCTGGTTAGAATAATACAAACTCTGTGTTTGTCTTAGACACTGTATTTCCATGTATGTCAATAAAATCCTGCATCTATATCCCACTTTATCAGCAAAATTTTAGGGAATGAAGGGTGGCACAAGACATGTGCGTAGTACTGTACATGTGAACATACCCCTCTACAATCAAAGGCCTTGGAGATCAAATGCACAGCATGCCTTTAACAGTAACCCACAGATAGAAACTACTACTCTTTCCCCATATATAAAACAATCTGCTCCTTCACTGAATCTTTGAGTCTCTGGAAGCTGATCTTAGTAGAAAAAAAGATGTTAAAAATCACAGAAGCTTTAAACTTTAGACCTACTTTGCATTTTCTTTAGTATGCTACCATTAAAACAGCTCCCACTGTGATCATCGTTAATAAGGTTGACAGCTGCTACCAGCTTAATCTCCGCACACCGTGTGTGTGTTTTCTTTTCTGTTTTTTAATGAAAAAGTGCAAAATGGATTATACACTATAAAAATGGTGCAGAGAGATGATTATATATACATAACAGTTGTTTTTAAACAGTGTGCAGAGGCGTGCTTGTGTGACGGAAGAACTCTGACTGGACCACACCTTTCCTGAGGTCTCCCTCCTCTTACCCTCTCCAGACTGGGAGTACCACCTTAAACCTGACTCCGGCTCATTTTTCATCTGTTCCTCTCCTACACTGCGCAACTTCACTAAATATTCTTCTTCTTCTGAGCCTCCTAATTAAGTGCAACACAAGGGAAACAGGAGGAGTGCACCTTTCTAAATATGCAGCTTCTGACTGACGCTACTCGTGCTTTGGTCCATTAAGGTGTGCTGTGCTCTGACGGAAACTGCTGTATCGAATTTGAAAGCGTGCGATTCTTTCTAACCGACCCGCTCTTTTCATGTCGCTTGACTCTCTTTGAACTTTTCTCGAGACGACCATATTTTCCATGTGTGTTTGACCATGGGAGAATCCAGAACGGTCCACTTCCTCTCCGAGTGTAGGAGCCAGGCGCTCTCCACAGGCCTTCCTGTGACCACCGCTCCCATCATGCCTCACTGCCTGCCAGTGTGCATCCAAAACTCCAGCGTTGTGTTAGAAACTGGAGCCGAACACAGTGACTGGAGGTCAGCAAAGACAACAGTGCAAATTTAGATTCCCTAGGTGTTTATATCTGTGTTGAAATTTGCGGGGAAGGGAGTTCTGCTTTTGTCTCGTCATGGGTTTTATTGTGAGTTTTCTTTTTTCTGTTATTTATTTATTTATTTTTTACAGTGGGCCGTACTTGGCTTCGTATCGAGCCAGGACGTTCTTACAGCGACCGCAGTCTTTCCGCATCTCAGCCACTTGCTGCCTCAGAGCAGCATTTTCACGCTCCAGGAAGGATGCACGCACGGTGATCTGGTTCTCCTTAAGGCGGCGTGCATCGCGGGAACGCTTCGCTGCCAGATTGTTCTTCTTTCTTCTCGACCAGTACTTCTCATCCTAGAGGAATGAAAAGGGACAGAAAGAAGAGTTAAACCTGCCCACATAAAAGAAGGGATTGGATTGAGGAGATCATCAGCTCAATTCTAATGTTTTATTGGGCTAACGTAATCACATAGAAATACAAACTAACTGATGGAGTTGGAGCTTAAACATTCTGCAAACCCAATTTTGATAAATGCATTTTTCTGACAACTGAACAAGATGAAAAGAGTGGAAATTTTCTAAATATATGTCAGACTTAAACTGTATGACATATATTAACTAGTTTTTACAACAGTGTTTTTTCAGACTGGAGTGAACTGATCTCAACTGCAGTTTGGGAAGAAGAAAATTTGATTCCACTGACCTTCTGCTCATCGGGAACAAAAACCTTCTTGGCCTTCTTGATCATCGGCTGCGGCTTCAGCTCCTCCTGGGAGAACCTGTGCTTGCGTGGGTTGAACAGCTCACCCCCGGGCACGCTGGACAGGACCAGGTCTGTGGGATCTGGCTGGAAATTAATGTCCACCTCAATGGCGTCTGGGTCGATTGGGGAGGGCGTGTTACGTTCTGCAGAGTCCAGCAGGGGAAAAAGTAAGCTTGGACACAAGACAGGTAAACGGCAATGAACCAGGTGGCCAGACTTCACACCACTACTGTGAAACCTGTTAGGGAGCTATGTAGGCTTCATTGCTCTCAGCCGCTTATCCCACAAAGATATTTTATCATCGCAAACACTCATTAAAAAAAAACAAACAAACTGAGGGTTATACAAAAGAAGCACAAGTCTTTGTGGGAATAATAACCATACCTACATAAAAACAATTATAAAACGTAGTAAAACAAATAAGTTCACTACATGCCACACTGGAAAAAAAGGCTTTAAAAGTTTCTGTGCAGCTCAAATGAAAGGTGTCTAAGTTGGACACCTCCCAAAAATACATTTACGTAAAAAATATTTCCATCACTGCTTCTGTGTCAGTTTGTTAACATGTGACTAAACTGCCTGCAGTGAAATTATTTGACTATATTAGCATTGAAGACCTAGATGAAAATTATATGCAAAAATCTGCCTTTCACGACATCACTTTAGCAGAGTAATAATGCACAGAAATAGCTGGGCAAGCACCAAAATCTGTATAAGGTATGTCCTACTGCCAAATGCTCTGGCATACCGCATTTTATAAAGTTGACGATATTCCTTATTTAATCCAGCCTATCCCAGTTGTCATGAGGTGAGAGGCAGGCTACACCTGGGACTGGTCACCAGTCTGTCACAGAGCTTGTTTGGCCAGATTTGGTAACATTTATTAATCGTTATGACTCAGGTAGCCATGCCAGCATTGATATTCTTAGACCAAACTAAATAAAACTAGAGCTGCATAACTGAGAGGAAACAACAGTTTTCATCAGGTGTTAATGTTTAACACATGCAGTAAATCTGCTCACCCGCTTTCTTTACTTCTGCTTTTGGCGTTGCCTCCTCAGGCAAAGATTCCTCTTTTTGCTCTTCCTCTTTTTCTCCTTCTTCTTCTTCTTCTTCTTGTTCTTCTTCTAGCTTAGCCGGTTGTAACGTGGTGACTGTCACAGGCTCCTCTGGATCTGGGGTAGCCATGGAGGCAGAGGGGGGAGATGATGAGTCTGCAGCAACAGGAGTAGCGGGAGTAGTTGTTTCAGTAGTAGTAGGAGTAGGAGTGGTGGTGGTAGCTCCTGCAATAGCCTTGGGAATGGCTTTGCCTTTGTCTTCAACTGTCAGCGTCTTCTGCAGCTCCTCCTCCTCCAGGGTCACAGGGATACCGTTCTCCAGGAGGAACTCATCCAAGTCCATGTATTCCAAGTGGAATGTCTCCCCATCATACGGAATGGTCTTCTCCCAAATGGCTGGGGTCAGGGAGGCTGATACCCCTCCACTGCCCCCACTTCCACCACCACCTCCTCTGGAGCCTCCACCAGCATTGTTTGCCACAGCCCCTCCTCCATCCACATCTTCAGATGAGCACAACTTCTCCTTCTCTATTTCTACATTAAAGACATAAAGCATAAAAGGAAAAAGTGAAATTAATGGCTGCTTGCTGAAAATGAACAGTTCCCTTGTCCAAATATTATTCAGTAGTAGAGGTGGGTGTATCAATCTGAAGGACAACAGTATCAACAAGACAGAGGATCGAAACAAAGTATCAATCCTAAGTTCAGTATATAACCCACTGACTTTATTATTTTTTGGAAACAAAAAAAAATTAAGCAAAATATATATGTAACATTCAAGGTCTAAAAAACAGTTTTAACAAACATGAAAAGTTGAAAGGCATGTATTAATTACAAAAAAATCCCAGTCATTACAATGTGTTGCAAATTGGTGATGACCTCATAAGTAATGACACACTACTCTCTGCTACACAAGTTGCCTTTGTAAGTATCGCTATTGGCGATACTGGCCCTGTATTTACTTGGGTGTTGAATGGATACCAAAAATTGCAGCATGGTACAACATTATTCAGGAGACACGGTAAGAAAGTGAAATTATGAATGAGAAGAGGCTGGGTGGAAAGGGGTGGTGGTGATGTGACACCTGACAAACAAGTGGGTAAACAAAGGCGGGCTACATCCAAGAAGCCCTACAAGCGGTCTGACAGACTGAGGCAGAGAGAGGGAGTAGATGTTAAAATGAAAGAAGATAGTCAGAAAACACCATCACCATCAGCCAGCAACCAAAGAAAAGTAGCTCGGGCTGTTTAATGAAACCGCAGGGAGTCCGCTCTGTCCTGACTGTTTCCAGCCTGGTTTAGCTCCTTGATTGTCAGCGCAGAAGAGCAGGAACTTTTTGTTCTTCATCGTTTGCTCCACGCAACAGAGGGCATGTGAGCCAAAACCACGACCACACGTTTTAGGCGAAACACCAGACGCTGATTACTACCCAGCTTTAAAACCTATATACTCGTGGTTCATTTACAAGCTGAAAAACTGGGCAGCATTTTAATTTAAATTTATTATTATTATTTATAATAATTAATAATGCTTACCGTCTTCTCCTTCCTCCAGGATGTTCGGAGGAGGTATGTCCATAATTTTCTTTAAAACAAAAGGAAAAGACTTCTGGGGTGACGCTGTAGCGGTATTACCGCTGGGCTCGAGCTCCGTTGCCATCGCGGCTTCGCCAGGCATTGTTCCGTGCCGAGCTCCGAGTACACCGAGGCGACGCTGCTTTTTTTTTTTTTACCGAGAGCTGCGTCCGAAAAACAGGAACACAAGAACCGCGTTTAGCCGCTGGACTCGACACTATCGCTGATTTTGAGCCTTTTAAGCCGAAAATGCAGATTTCTAGAGTCAAAAACAACACCACACCGAGCCTCTTCTTCTCCTTACCCACGGAGCACGCTCGTTGGATATTCAGAAGTTCCGTGCCACGCCTCTTTCACGCAATAGTAGCAGCTGATTGGCTGTCAGTACTTCATATATGAATATATTACTGCAGCTTCATTTTGACTCTAATCTGTGGTAGCTCTACGTTTGGTCATTGGCCACAAACACACAAGGAAATCATGGCTTTACATAGAAGGAAAAAAAAAAAACAGACCCTATAAGCGCAACGTGAATGCAACACTCGGCCTCGTGCAGTCATCATATTAACATCTTTATTAGAAGGCGTTAGAGGCACGAGGTACTCACACTTTCACGGCAAGAACTGCGTGTCACGCGCGCACGCATAGCGCAAATACCCACACCCACATAAACACGTTGTGAGCTCGTGCAGTCGCTTGTTTTCTGAGCGTGATACTCGTGGCCAAACACGTGCGCCCCGCCCGCACCCGACTCACGTGAAAGCACACTCTGTCGATGGGCGTGGTTTAAAGATTCTCTGCACGTGCAAGCCAATGCGAGCTGGTTGAAGCGGGCACGCGCACGACAGTGTTTTTATTTTATATTGATTTAATAGTGCACGCGAGGTATAATCTATAACGTCTATCACATATTTCCCTAGATACGCTTTAACTCTACGCGCACCAGCTTCCAGGTCCTCTCTGCACCGAATAATAATAATTAATCTAAAAAAAAATAAACCCTCACTGCCACAAAAAAAAGAGACGTGCGTGCTTCCGCGCGACGGAGCGCGCACGACCTTGTCTCGAATATTGTTTTGTTTCAGGAACACGATGTTCAGCCGCAGTGAAATTCATTTTTTTCCTTTTTTCCCCCCTCCAAGTTCAGCACAAGTGCCATGAGCTTCTACAGACTGAACACTGAAACCGCACACCAAAAGACTGGTGTCCTAATACTCTGTCCACGTACAAGTTTAGACAGGGACACATGAGACCAGGGTTTTTATTAAGGTTTCTGTGGCCACGAATACTAGTGAGCGCATGTGCAACATTTTGTATCGCATTACAAGGATGATAAAGGTCAAACTGAAACAACAATAAGAAGAAGAAGAAGACGAAGGGGGAGTAGGAAGCATGTTTCAATATTGGAAATGAACTGTTAAATCATTTGTTATGCTTTCGGTTCACACAATACAAAGTTTTCATTCTAGGTCCTGCAGCTCACTGGAAAAAATACAAAACAAGAACCGGTCTTGGCTGGAGTCTGCTGTGTCTACAGAGCAAACCAGAGCACAATAAACACTTATCAGTGCCCTCTGCTGTCTATTTAAACTGATTAAATTTACACTCTTGAAACAGCTGAGACAGGAGTCTGCTGTTGTTCAACACATGTGAACAGAGGGAACTTTGTATGCACACTGAGATGAGGAAGAAATAACTGAATTAAAACTTGATGGTGATGCTTTCTGCATGCTTTACAGGGGAAATTACAGAACTATTAAGGCCTCAACCACAGTAAACACAATAACAATAACACAATAATCTGCCACTGAAGTGTCCTGCGAAGACACTGCATATCACAGGGCCAGCATATTATGTACTAGTGAGTCAGCATTGGTTGTCAACAAGATAATAAAATGCAATATTTATATTTGAGTTTCTAACACTATAATTACTTTGCATGTCTGTGGGATTTTTTCTGGTGTCACAAACATGTGTAAACATGTAAATCTAAAGCCAAACATTGTATGCCAGGGTATCAGGGATGCAAAGGGTAGTGCTATTACAACTTTGTACAATTTCTTCATCTGTATACCAGCATCATGTAGGTAAATGTGCATAGAAAGTATGGATGGAAGTATACTTTATTAGCTTAAGATAATAATATAATAATCAGAATATAATAATATGTAGTTAGCATTGTGAAAGACCATGAGAGCAAAACAAGTTTCTATAATACTGCATTTTTTTAACCTCTATCTACTCTACTGAAAAGCATCCTTGGCTTTCTTGAAAGACCCTATACAAATCTATGTTGTTATTATTATTTCAGGTTTGCTAAGCTAACTCTCAGGCTACTGCAAAACCTGGTTTTGTTTTGTTTTTTACATAAATAATTTTGGATTTTTGTTATTTTTACATGACTAGAAACCTACTTACAAACTACTAAACATACTACAAACTTTACTGGCACATGATTTGCTTCTACTAGCCGACTCATTTTGCTTTATTTGAGTTTTATTGCTTTTACTGCAGAGTTCCTTTCAGTTGTAACCACATTTACTTAAAGTGCCCCCCGAAGGTCAACTCTAGGGCATCATAGATTTTACATGCTGCCAATGTATATCATACACTTATGACACACAGCTAAATATTCGCTGTAAATCTGCTAATACAGCACATGTCTGATTTCAGGGGCTGAATGACACAGACTGGTCTTTATGAAGGAAATCAAACTCCAGGGTGGTTTTATTTCCTATGCATCATTAGCCACAGCTTTACTGCAAGTTGTTTGACCCAAATCTGACACTGTGCCTTTGAGCTAGCTGTCTGGTTGTCTATAGAGATGAACAAACTCTCTGATTAGTCATGAGAAGATGGGGACTGCATACTAAGATTTATTTATCTATTTATTTTTTTAACAGGTCAAGGTATATTCGAAACCTCACTGTGACCAACTTTGGTGATACTGGAGCAATTAGGTGTTCGTACCCACATAAGTGCCATCAAACGCTTAAGGAGACATCAGAGCACAGGTGAAGTAACACAACCCCAACACATTTAGTTCAGTTTCAGCTGGCAGTCTTTCTTGCATGCCCTGCATGTCACTCCCTCTCACATTTCCTATGTCATTGCACTAGCAACTTCTAATGAAAAATAAACCAAAGAATTTATTTATTTTTAACAGAAAGTAAGCTAAAAAGTGTGCATAACATAAGCAGAGTGCATAAAGAAGCTAATGAAATGATGAAACTCTGAGTGAGGACTGTTTCAGTGTTGTTGCATCAGTTTCAGGCTACACGGAGAAACAGCATAGACAGTCTGCTGACACAATACACCTCACAGCCTTTCATCACCTGTGCACACTTCAAGAGATTAGAGTGATATTCTGATTACCACATACTACTGCACTCAGTAAAATAATGAACTGAACAGGAGACATTTAATTATGTTTACGGGTGGTTTTACTTCTACAGTTTCCCATACAGAAGGGTTTAAAGTGTCTGCTAGTAAAATAACTTTACACTAGAGCTGGATTAAGTACTTAGTTCAATGCTGAGATGTAATGAAAGCACTAGTCAGTTTTAATAGGCAAAATAACAGAAGTCACTTCATTAGCTTTATGTATAAAACCACTTCATGTGTATCACTGAAAGCAAGATAAATAAGATGAAGATACCATGAAGAATTGCAGGGCTGCTGCATTACTTGTATCTCAGACTCTAATAAAATGGCAACATAGCAATTGTCACAGGACAATATTAAATCATAAACCTTAAAAATAATGTAACTAATTAATTATACTCATTTTACAACCAGTGCCATAGTTTAATCCTTAATATTCATAGGCCTCTATGTCAAATTTTTATGTGGGAAAGTCACATAAAGTAATGAAATATAGTAAAAACGTACTTAGCGTTTCCATGAATGTAACTACACACCACCATATGCTACTTAAATAAGTCTGCCAACTACAGACTGCACGCTAGCAAAAGCAGCTCTCATAAAAAGATGCAAAAACAGTTATAACGTTATTTTAAAACATGCTTACCACTGTCATCAAAGGCCGGGAAGGGACAGTCGGCCAAGTACCTGAGCAGGTCCGGCACGTCGCTCCTGTCCTCGAAAAACATTTGGTTAGCCGCCGTCATGTTGGACAACTTGTGAAACTGCCCGCTCTGCTCGAAAACACAACTCTTATTTACTCCGACGAAACGACTACGTGCGCTTTGCATCAACTTTTCAACGTCACGGGGACGGATGCATGTGTCCGAACACAATCAGAGTTATAATTACCAATGCGAGCCACGCCCCCTCAGCATGTTGACGCGGTGACAATTGAGCGCGCGCACGCCAATCATACCGCAGCGCCTATCAAAAAGCAGGGGGCGGGCTCTGGAGAATCACAACCAAAACAACAACCTTTAACGGCGCGGCTCCGGCTTTCCCCCCCACGCACGGCAGCACGTGCAGTGACACTGTGGGATCTGGAGCGCCACGTGCCACCTAGTGGCTTGATTAAAAATTGCACTACACAGTGACCACCATTCAAGCCAAGGTGTGTCAAACTATTATGCTGAAACTTGTTAACCACACTCAATGCCATTATAGTGTTATAATACTATTATAAAGTAATGCTTTATAGTATTAGAGCCTATATCTGTGAAGGTTCTCAGTCATCCAGGTCATTGTAGTCCAAGGATCTGGGCAAAAAAGTGTTTGGATTACTTTGAGTTTGAGTTTTAAGAAACTCATCAGTCCAGACGCTTTTTCCAATTAGAGTATATACTTCCACACATACAAATACACTACTTTCACCCTTTAATTCAAGGGCTTTAGCAAAAGTTTTGGATTAACTGTTTAGGAATTACAGGAATTTACACATGTTAGTCCTCCCCTCAATTTTCAGAGGCTCCAGAATTATCGAGCTTCTACAGGGAGTGCAGAATTATTAGGCAAATGAGTATTTTGTCCACATCATCCTCTTCATGCATGTTGTCTTACTCCAAGCTGTATAGGCTCGAAAGCCTACTACCAATGAAGCATATTAGGTGATGTGCATCTCTGTAATGAGAAGGGGTGTGGTCTAATGACATCAACACCCTATATCAGGTGTGCATAATTATTAGGCAACGTCCTTTCCTTTGGCAAAATGGGTCAAAAGAAGGACTTGACAGGCTCAGAAAAGTCAAAAATAGTGAGATATCTTGCAGAGGGATGCAGCAGTCTCAAAATTGCAAAGCTTCTGAAGCATGATCATCGAACAATCAAGCGTTTCATTCAAAATAGTCAACAGGGTCGCAAGAAGTGTGTGGAAAAACCAAGGCGCAAAATAACTGCCCATGAACTGAGAAAAGTCAAGCGTGCAGCTGCCAAGATGCCACTTGCCATCAGTTTGGCCATATTTCAGAGCTGCAACATCACTGGAGTGCCCAAAAGCACAAGGTGTGCAATACTCAGAGACATGGCCAAGGTAAGAAAGGCTGAAAGACGATCACCACTGAACAAGACACACAAGCTGAAAGACTGGGCCAAGAAATATCTCAAGACTGGTTTTTCTAAGGTTTTATGGACTGATGAAATGAGAGTGAGTCTTGATGGGCCCGTGGCTGGATTGGTAAAGGGCAGAGAGCTCCAGTCCGACTCAGACGCCAGCAAGGTGGAGGTGGAGTACTGGTTTGGGCTGGTATCATCAAAGATGAGCTTGTGGGGCCTTTTCGGGTTGAGGATGGAGTCAAGCTCAACTCCCAGTCCTACTGCCAGTTTCTGGAACACACCTTCTTCAAGCAGTGGTACAGGAAGAAGTCTGCATCCTTCAAGAAAAACATGATTTTCATGCAGGACAATGCTCTATCACACGCGTCCAAGTACTCCACAGCGTGGCTGGCAAGAAAGGGTATAAAAGAAGAAAAACTAATGACATGGCCACCTTGTTCACCTGATCTGAACCCCATTGAGAACCTGTGGTCCATCATCAAATGTGAGATTTACAAGGAGGGAAAACAGTACACCTCTCTGAACAGTGTCTGGGAGGCTGTGGTTGCTGCTGCACGCAATGTTGATGGTGAACAGATCAAAACACTGACAGAATCCATGGATGGCAGGCTTTTGAGTGTCCTTGCAAAGAAAGGTGGCTATATTGGTCGCTGATTTGTTTTTGTTTTGTTTTTGAATGTTAGAAATGTATATTTGTGAATGTGGAGATGTTATATTGGTTTCACTGGTACAAATAAATCATTGAAATGGGTATATATTGGTTTTTTGTTAAGTTGCCTAATAATTATGCACAGTAATAGTCACCTGCACACACAGATATCCCCCTAAAATAGCTAAAACTAAAAACAAACTAAAAACTACTTCCAAAAACATTCAGCTTTGATATTAATGAGTTTTTTGGGTTCATTGAGAACATGGTTGTTGTTCAATAATAAAATTATTCCTCAAAAATACAACTTGCCTAATAATTCTGCACTCCCTGTATATTGAGGCTGTCAATCAGTTTCATGGCGGCTGAGGACTTTTACTTTTTACTTCACAACAAATGAAGCGTATAGATAAAGAGATGAATTTCCATTTATAGGTAACTAAATACGAGACCGAAATAAAGGGCAGTTCAACTGAAAGAGGTTTTCATTTGGCTGAAAAATCAAAATAAAGCTATCACATACACAGCAGAAACATCAGTAGTAGCCCCAAATCAATAATCTGTTGCACTGTTAAAAAGAACAAATACACTGACCAGCTAAGTAAAAATGTCTGAAAGACCACAGAAGATGTTAAAGTAGCTAAAGTTCATGAGGGCAGAATTATTTCGATGGTTAACAAAAACAACTTCACAACATCTAACCAAGTCAGCACACTTATGAGGAGGCAGACATATTGTTCAAATTTACAATCAAAAGAGGCTTTCAGGAATGAAAAACACAGAAAGTTTATCATGAGGTGAAAACTACTTGTTACAGATTAGACTTTGGCAGAAAACATCTAAAAGAGCCTTCACAGTTCTGGAAAATTCTATGAACAGATGAAAACAAGATGAACTTGTACAAGAATGATACAGAATACCACATTACCTTCAAACATGATCGGGATGTTATGGCATGTGCATATACCTTTGCACCTTTGCAGCTATAACAGCTTCAGCTCTTCTGGGAAGACTTTCCACAGGTTTAGTAGTGTTTATGGGAAATTTTGACCATTTTTCCAGAAGTACATCCATGAGGTCTGCCTCTCAGTCTCTGCTATAATTCATCCCAAAGGTGTTTGATTGTGTTGAGGTCAGAAGAGTCAACTTCTTCCACACCAAACTCGCTCTATAATCTCCCCTCTACCAAACTTTAGACTTGGCACAATGACAAGTACCGTTCTCCTGACATCCACCAAATCCAGAATCATTCATCAGATTGCCATATGGATAAGCATGAATCGTCTATGCTCTAGAGTCCAGTGTGTGCTTTATACTACTGAATCTGACGGTTTGTTGTGTTTGGTGATGTAAAGCTTGGACGCAGCTGCCTGGTCATGAAAACCCATTGTATCAAGGTCTGGCTGCACTGTTCTTGACATAATCTAAAGGTCAAATGAAGTTTGGAGGACTATAGCGGTTGATTCTTCAGAAAATTGGCAACGTCTGTGCTCTATAAGCCTCAGCATCCACGGAACACACTCTGTGATTTTACATGTCCTACCACTTCATAGTAGAGTTGCTGTCATTTCCAGTCGTTTCCACTTTGTTATAACACCACTAACAGCTGACTGTGGAATATTTAGCAGCAAGGACATTTCACGACTGGACTTGTTGCACAGATAGCATCCTATGACAGGACCACCCTGGAACTCACTGAGCCCCTGAGGATGACCCATTCTTTCATAAATGCAGTCTGCATGAATAGGTGGCGAAATTTATAAACCTGTGGCCATACAATTGATTTAAGCACCTGAATTCAATGATTTGGATGGGTGACTGAATGCTTTTGGCAGTATAGTTTATACAGATAGCACTATAACTGGTTTACTAGCGTTCACTGATACTATGACTGCTTATAGAAGCTGCAGGATGAATGGTGACGTGTACAGAGTTACACTCTCTGCCCAGATTCAGACAAATGCTACAAAAGTGATCAGAGAGCTCTCCACAGTGCAAATGCACAATGATCCAAAGCACACTACAAAAACAACCCAAGAATCTCAAGGCAAAGGAATGATATTCTTTCGTGGTTGAGATAGTCATTGGGGTCAAGTACTCCCTTACCACTCAATTAGTTCAAATGTATTAAACAGAACACAAAATTGGACCTCTGCTGTCTTTGCACGAGTACAAATCAGAAGTACAAGCCAGCTTGCCATATAGGGGACATTTTATTGCACAATGAAAGTTTTGAAAACCTCCTTTCTTAATGAACTGCACAATGAAGGCACACTTCAGTAACATTCCCTGATTGAGCAAAACACAAACAGAAGGTAAAACAACAAAGGCACGAGGAAGGCTGCAGGTATGGCATATGAAACCTTTATAAATCTTCACTGATGATCATTTTTTCTTTCTTTCTTAGTGTGGCACCACATAGCCTTACGCTCACAGCACAGTGCAGTTAATGTTTTGGCTGGAGAGACACGAGCTGTGAATGTAGCGCCGTGAAGTCACAAGAAAATTAAAATATGCGCTTTTTTAAATTCAGGTTTGTTAAATATATATGTGCCTTCGAGTGAACTGCTGCTGTTGGTTTTAATTTGAAAACTCTTGACAAACTGAAATGCTGTTTGGCAGTTACAAAATTGGCTCACAAAGTCAAATTCTTGTTAGTCCTGAAGCAGGAAGTTGTATTTTCCAAAGTCGACCTCATCAGGCATGACGAGCATATCTTCCCTAGCTTTGGCCAGCTTTTGTCGTAAGAACTCTCGTCTCTCTATCCACTCCTGGAGCTCCTCCGGGCTATGGGCGTAGTCACAGCATGCACCATCAGGACAGCTGCCATCCAACCTGTCAGTTATTAAATAAAACACTATGCTGTGAGCTTTACTTTAACTAAACACTACCATACGATTTAGTCCACTCACTCAGCAGACTTTATAACTTAATCTTTGCTGGATGATAAAGTGTGAGAGTCCTTCTGTATGTTAGGACCTGGATACTTCCTGCACACAAGTGACCTACAGCTCTGTACTGTCCCCAAACGCCTCATATCCTGTGCTGCACAGTTTGTTACAACAGCTCAGGTTTTGCAAACTGGTCATGTGATTTACACCTCACACAGTGGATCTATTATTCTCACTTATGTTCACTCTTAAACTGTACTGAGGTAGTTTTGCATGATTTGCAGTTCACAGTGGACTTGGTGAAGCCCGTCAGTTTCTTCTGTCTGAAACAAGCAGTTTTAGCTCCTTTCATCCTCAACTTAAGCCAGCTTTTTCTCTGATTGGCTGTCCATCATAAACAGTGGGTGGGGCCTCTGTGGTCACAGTCACATATGTGTCCCTGAGATGACCATACTCGGGATTTCCCCTCTCTATGACCTCATCAGAGCAAAGAGTAGGAAAGAAAATGGACTAAAACAGACACTGAAGCCTGAAGTGGCTCAAGTTGATTACTTGTACATATGCTGACTTAATTTCTGCATTTATTAAATTAAAAAAAAAAAAAAAAAAAAAAGCATAATAGCTCACTTTTATTCATTGTCTGCATGTACAAACTGATCCAGGAAAATTTCTTACTTGGAGCACAGTTCAAAGCGTGTACCCGGGAAGCGGTAGCTCCACGTCAGAGCTTCATCTTCTCCCTCGCAGCTGAACACTCTGTCCTTGTGCTTCTCGGTGGAAATGTGCTGCTGCCACTGCCGCTCGCTGTTACTGTGTTTGCCACACAGGCGGCAGTGAAAGCCACTCTAAAATAAAGACGGGAAGAAATACTCTCATCTTTTCTTACTAACTGAAAGAACAATATGGGAGTTTTAAGATTTTCAGACTTTTGCTTTGTTGAAACAAAGAGAGAAAAGTGAAACCCACCATTGGCTCAGCATAATCAGTGGGCATAGTGATGTATTTTTCCTCAGGGCTGGGCTGGTTGACCGTGGATCCATCTGCTTGACGATTATAACCGCTTAATTCCAGCCACATGTCATACATCTGCTGCATGTCTTTCACTACAGGCACACAAACATCAGATCACTGAGAGGACATTCAGTGAGTGGACCTCTTCTCGTACAAACTGCACTTCCCTCCTCATGCAGATAAGAAGTGCTTCCTTTATTTTTCCAATCAAACCAAATAGCGTTGGCTGCTTTTAGTAACTTACCGTCATTATTTTTCATATACATCCACATGTCCTTCTCCTCTGGGCTGTGAGCAAAGGTGCAGACCCCAGAGTAGCTACATTTCCTCTTCTCCAAAATCTGTGCACACATCTGTCAGGAGAAAGCATCATGCTGTTAAACACCGATCGCAGACGACGCCCTTCCCCATCATTTGAAATATCAACACTAGAGCCTGCCCGGACAATAATAGCTATTCGCTGATATATCGGTATCAGAATTTATAATGACTGACAAGCAGTGTTGGGAAGGTTACTTTTAAAATGTATTCCATTACAGAATACAGAATACATGCCCCAAAATGTATTCTGTAACGTATTCCGTTACGTTACTCAATGACAGTAACGTATTCTGAATACTTTGGATTACTTAATATATTATCATGCTTTTTACAACAACGTGAATGTACGATTGCTGTGTGATTTATTACTATTACTGAAGGTCCGCGACTCCGAGCTGTAGTAAAGGGACCTCTGACTAATACGGCGGGGTCCCTGTCGGCTCGTAGCCGAAAAATAGCTTTACTTTGTTGTGTGGGTCAATTTTTCTTGCGAGAGACAGAGAGAGACGTTGAAAGACTGCTCCAACGGAACTTATTGTTTTCGGAGGAAAACACGAACAGGGTGTACAGTCGAGTCTTAATAGCTTACTTACAACTGGGCTCGTCAGGCTCTCTTCTTGGCTGAAGTGGTTATTATTATATTTACATGCTTCCAGCTCCCGTTTTTCCTCGATGACAACTCCAACCTTTCCACTCCCCTTTTTCTCCCTCCTCGCGCTCACAGACCCATAACGTGTATGGCAGTCCATTCTCCCTGCAACACGGACTACACTGCCCATGATGCTACATTCTTTAGAGCTATGCTTGTAGCATTCTGCCTGTTAGCTTAGCACAACAACAACAACAACAACGAAAAGGCGCTCTCTCACCCAGGAAACACACAGTCGCAGAGAGAGAGAGCGTCACCCTGTAACCATGGCAACCGTAGCGCTGCCGCCTGGAACAAAAGAACGTAGCTGTCAAACAAAACCCAAACAGTCCTGACCCGCGACAATATGAAACAGGAAAGTACCGCAGTGTAATCCATTTATTTCAACAAAGTAACTGTATTCTGAATACCACCTTTTTAAACGGTAACTGTAACGGAATACAGTTACTCATATTTTGTATTCTAAGTACGTAACGGCGGTACATGTATTCCGTTACTCCCCAACACTGCTGACAAGTGAAATTTTAAGAAATTAAGCAGTGATGGGGGAACACATTACTGTTCAACCAACAACGCACAGTGCCATTTGTGAGACAAAGTATCCAACTTCTCTACTGGAACGCTACAAATGCCACCAAATAATGTAACAAAGATGAGGGAAGTCCTCATTTGTATCAGTGCAGGGATGATGTCTATGATGCAAGTCCTTGGTTTAAATGCCTTCTGCTTTAAAGTGCAGACTTACATAATACTGTGCAGGGAGATCCTTGGCGTGTGGCAGTGGTCGCACCTGAACCCATTTACTTCTCTCTTGGGACTTGACCAGCAGCACTCGCCTGTCTTTAGTCCACCTGAAGGTGACGACAAAAACGTTGTAAATATGCTCCGCGCTTTGGCGGATTTATCTGGTGAGGAAGAGAAAAGCTGTAAAGGGTCCATTTAGGTGCCTTTGTAAGAGCAGTGCATCTGCAGTTAAACAGCACTTTCTGTTTGATTGCAGTGACAGACATTGAGGGATTATCATTCGATTGGTTGGTGAAACAATTCTTCAACACAAAATGCCCAGCGGGGTGTTTTGACTGCTCGGCATTTTAAAATTCATGTAACTCTGTTAGATTAAAAGTCCAACATCTCTTATTTATGACTTTTTTAATAGTTTTTTTTTCTTCATATGGTGAATTTTGCCGCGTGTGGGACAAAAAGAAAAGAAAACATGGACTGTGTGATAAACTTTCACTGTTGTACTTTAAAATAATGTATTTATTAAAATGTGTGCTGCTTATTAGCAAACTCTATATATTTTACCTTTATGATCTAAAATGAAATATTAAAAATCACTGCAAAATGAATAAAAATCCTAAAACTTAACCTTAAATGTTTTTTAAAAAATTAAATATTTCTTATATGAGAAAAATGAGCTGAATGACTTCCTTGTTATTGATGCTGTTGTTGCAAGACGTGGTCAAAGCGACCCCCCCTGGTGGTTCTACTGTTAAAATTGAAATACAAGAGAAGTCGCTGCAGTGCAAAAAGTGTTTCTCTTTCAGTGATTCATTCATTCATTCATTCATTGCCAGACACACCCTGGAGGGAAAAATCACATAAGGTCAGGAGGTCTGAATACAGTTTAATTGGCTGTGTTGAGGTGCACTGGACAATGATTAAGTTTTAATCACTGAAGTGATCGCCTAATATGACATAATATTATAAAATATTAAAAATAAAACTCTAGACTCGTACAGGAACTGAGCACCTGTATTCACTTTACTCACGCATGTCTAGCTTTAGCACCGCAGTGCTTGAGGCCTTTGTCTGGCTCACTGATCAGGCCGTCCAACCAGCACTGACAGCAGGCAAACTTCATCCGCATGTTAAGACTCTTCCCAGCACCTCCTCCCCCTCCTGGTTTGCTCCCACCTCCTTCAAAAGGCACCTGTTTAAATTTAAATGACAAAAAAGGGACGTTCGTCCACAGATGAAATGTTAAATAAAGTCACAGGCTGCTGGATGGAAGTCTGCATTTAGTATCAGCAGTAACGCAAACGCACACACATTGTCGGGCCACTACAAGCATACTGATGATAAGTATGACCGTCCTCATATCAAAATCTACTGAATGGTTGACAAGATGAAACATTCACCTTACAGAGCATCATCTCTCCAACACATATTTACAGTAATAACAGTAACATTAAAGAAGAGCCAGACTGGAACGGGTTAGTAAGAAAAATACTATTTCTATAAAAGTGATCATCACAATGCTTCTTACTCTGTTTCCTTTCTGTTTGCTTGAGTTTTGCTCCTGCTTGTCATGATACTTTGCGGATATTCTCACAATCTCATCAGGGCTGACACCTGAAAATAAAAATGCATAAAGAAGGAGAACGATTACAGGACAACAGTGCACTTTGATGGACTTTTTGAATGAATATTGTGGCAGTGAATGTTTTCCACAGTGGAAATACTGGCAGATCGCGATGGATTTTCTGTCATCGATGAATGAAATTAACTGTTTATTATTTCTATTTATAGTATAGATCATTTTCATTGAGTACAATTCTTCAGTGCAACTTAATTTTCACACTGCTACTACATCACTGCTGTAAATGGCATACTAAGGAGGAGTGATGCTATATAAATGATGAATTAAACACTTACTACTAAAACATAATAGTGTGACATTATTATAAAGCACAGGTTTGGTTCAGATCATTTCAGCACACAAGCTCTCAATCTGTTGTTCTAAGTTTGATCTCAGTAATTAACAGTACTATGACAACAGTAAAGCAAAGTATTTGTCAGGCACCTGTTTCTCTCTGCACCTTCCAGGTTTTGAGCTCGATAACAGAGTGGGCGTAGTGGCAGTTGTCCTCTCTGACACAGCCGTACCGGATGGCTTGGTTGCACAGATCCATGTGACACAGGATGCTCAACGGGCGAACCTTCTTGTAAATCACATTGTGGGTCCTCACCACGAAAGCCAAGCACCTGATGGGCACAGAGGGAAAAAGAAAGCGTGATGGAGACAGATGAGAAGGCATACGGAGCAAAGAGTTGGTGCAGGATTAGAAGTGAGAGTGGGTGAGAGAACAAGGACTTGTAATGACCCGTATGTTGTAAGCACACTCACTTATTAGCATCAAAGTTGTGGCGAACATCCAAGTTAGAGCAGATGGTCTGATCGTCTTGGAAGCGCTTACTGATTATTCTCGGTTTACTGTCATAGCACGCCTGGAGAGACACGGCAGGAAGACGAAGATTTTGAAAGGAAAGGAAGAGAGACCGGTGACGGAAACAAAGGGAGAAAGATGGAGAAGATCATCTTAGAAATGAAATGAACATTTGTCGTGATGGAAGCGTGCTACATCCAGACACAAATATTACAAACATAGTGTGCATTGGCTAACATACAGTCAGCAGTTTACATCCACTTATCGTTGGATTTAACTGCATTGTCTTTGAACTCCCCTTTTTTCAAATTCACACAGGTTTAACATTATACAAATTATAAGTGGTTATATCAATTATTACCACTGATATCTGTGTTTAAATGTCCCTTAGTAAGATGCACCTCAGCCAACACTTTTGATAGCAATCAACAAACTTCTGGCATAATTCTGGTTGAATATTTGAACACTCTTGGAAGAATGGGTACCATAGTTCATTTAAATTGGTTAGTAGCCACACATTTTCAACTCTCATAGTTCAAAAGAACAAATGGAAAGTGGTACTTTTGAAGTTTCCAGATTAAACATTTAAACACAAAACAAATGGAGAAACTCCAGCGTGCATCATGTAAATCTTTAACATTAATCCGATCAGGTTAAAGAGCTTTTATACCCCTGCTCCATTATCAAAGAGAAAAACAGAGATTTCAAATAAACACAGCTCACGTGCACTAACCTGACAGAGGAACATGAACGTGCCTTTGTTTTCCTGTAGGAGGCATATGATGCTGCTCACGGGGTCCAGTTTAAAAGCTTTTGTGCCAAACAGTCGGGTTCTGTCCAGCCTCCCTTTCTTCTCCTCTGTCCAAACATCGATCTCCATCTGGTTGTAGGCAAACGTGCATTTCTCTCCATACTTACACACACCCAGCTCTCCAGACTTCAGCAACTCTGGAAATATAAGAAAACACACATTTCATTCACATAAGCGCACTAAGTATGCGAGTTTTACTGCCTTCCTTCTTTCACTGCACAGAAATTTGAAGTGTAGTAACAGGCACACACACAGTATTCGTGTGCAATCCACAGCTGGCTCATTCTCAACTCTCTGCAGCAAATTAACAGAAAATCTGAACAATTTTCCCCAAATTTATCACATTTTTCAATGTTTTCAAAACATGCTCACCTGGTTAGGGAATATGGAAACAAGAAACACTGAGTCCTTAAAATATCTCTGGAAGAACCAACTGTGCTCTGGGGTGACTTTGAAAACTAAAACGACTGTAAGCTCTAATCTATTCCCGTATATTTGGAAAGACATGGTGATGAGTCAGCTGCTCTTGAACTTCAGGAACTGGTCTGACTGAAGGAATTTAGATGACTTGGATGTAGTTACTGAAAATGTTCTGCCTGAATATTACCACCCTTGTTTGTTTCTGGCACAGGAAAAATAATTTTATTGATGTTTCAGGCTTTACTCACAATGAAGTTTATAAATTGTTGATGTTTTTAGACATTTTTCAAATCAACTGTATGTTATGTGGCTTGTGTGGGGTTTTTCTGTGTGTATTTGTATGTGTGTTACTAGTTTATACAAGTCTTGGCCAGAACAGGACAGGTCAGAAATTTTGAAAGTCAACAGTCATATTTTCCTGGTTAAATAAAGATAAATAAATACATAAAATGTGTATTAAAATATTCTTCTCTCTTCCAATAGACTGGTCAGACAATTAAGGGAATTGGTATAATAAAATTTTATTAATTGTATTTTTTAATCATAAAAGAAATTAAACTTGATGAATGAAAAAGTGGGAAACTAGTCCCTTATTGTTGATTATCTGGCAACAACTTATAAATGTATGATTGTCACCATTTTCAGACTTTACCATTAAAGACATATTTATCTGCAATAATAAGTAAATAACTATGAAAAATAGAAGAGACTCGTGACCTTGATCTTGAGCTCCTTACCTTTGCAAAGTAGAAATCGCCCACCAAAGGCCTTCAGTATGGGCAGCGGTCGCACTCTGGTCCAGTCTAAAGGGGGGTCGGCTTTTAGTCTGCATAGCAGAATGTCTCTCTTACAGTTGTGGACCAGGTCTGGCTTGTGAACGTAAGTATATATCCCTACACCTGTGAAGGAATTAGTGCACAAATACACAATACATATTGATCAAACATTAAAGAGGAAAACAAGTTCTTTTAAAGTTCCACTGAGAACAGCAGGGCATCAAACTTCCCACACTGTAAAACCATCACCAGCTGATAAGCAGCAGGACCATTTTGATGTCACTCAAATCCTACCATACCTTCTCGAGGGTAGCAAGCAGAGCAGGCCTGCAGGAACTCATGGGTGGAGGACAGAGGGTTATACACTGCACCCGGCCTTTGGTTTTCCTTCGCCTTTGTTTCCAAGGTAAGAATAAGACATCAGTTAATGCTAAGGAAGATACAAGGAAAGAAAACGTAACACAGGCCTGATCATCAGTCTTACTTTGTAATGATTTTTTGGAGATCGCATTACTGGAGCCGCAATACTATGAGAGCCTGAGATACCTGAGGAGCAAGGAGAGAACATAAATTATGAACTGCATGAGGTAAAAGGGCTGAAGCACCAACCTCAGACGCTAAAGGGGAGCTGGCCACTTCATTAGGTACAACTGTTCAGCTGCTCACTAATGTCAATATTTATCATATAATCACACGGCAGAAACCTGATGCATTTAGGCTCACAGACATGGCTGAAGTTCAAACTCAGCTTTAGGATTTAAATGTGGCAGGTTTGAATGTTTCAGAATCAGCCGATCTGCTGGGATTTTTCTATGCAACCATCTGTAAGGTTTACAGAGAGTGGTATGAGAAAGAGATAACATCCGGCGAGCAACAGTTCTTTGGGAGAAAATGCTTCGTTAATCCCTGGGGAGAATGGTCAGACTGCTTCAGTTATTACTAAATAATAACTGTTCTTCAGCCTTTCTGAATATCTTTAAATGGGCATGTGAATCATACAAATCGGTGTATATCGGTGGATGTTTGAGCAAAAAAGCATCCCTTATAATAAGCCAGATATAAATCATAGTCACCTGCTGAGTTGAAATCGGAGAGCGAGTCCAGGCCAGACCCCCCGACTAAGACTGCTGACGAAACTACTCTAACACCCTCTATCGAGGAAAATGAGTCCAAGGAATCAAGGGAGTCAAGCCGGTCCATGGATCTATTCCTAATTTTAGAGACATGATCGCCCTGGCTGCTTGGATTAGAGAGTGTCTCTAAGGGATCTAGTTCATCTAGCAGCTCATCAAGAGACTTTTCTCCTACATCCAGCTCTGTTTTGGCCTCGATAACTTCTTCAGCAGCAGCAGCCCTCGGCATCTTATCCAAGGCGTCATCGAGAGAATCGAGGGAATCGAGGGAATCAAGACCGTCCAGACCGTCCAGCCTCGTAGGGGTCAGTAGTAAGTTTGAAGCATCTGCAACACCACCTTTTTCAGAGGTCGAGAGGTCGTCTAGGATATCCAGTGTAGCAGCTGAGGTGCCGAGCCCAGAACCAGAAAAGGAGTCCAAGGAGTTGAGTTGGTTAACGGCTGAGCTGAAAAAGGCCGGGGGTAGTTGGGGTGTCGGTGCGGGCAGGACAGATGGGCCTCTTTGTGTGCAAGTGGATGTCCCGCTGGGCACTGAGAATACGTCCTGTCAAGAAAGGAGGCAGGATGTAAAAAAAAAACATGCCTCAACTGGATAATTAAACATGAAAGTTGGAATGGATGCTGGCCGACACAGCTGGTAAATAACCCATATACAATACTGCATTAATCAATATTTTGGCCTAAGTAATGGATCAATAAAACCACTATGCACAAAGGGGAATCACCTGACTCTATAAAGTCCTTGATGCCTATTAGCTTGTTAGTTTTACTTCATCATTTCTGTCCCCAAGTTATGTTAGCAACTACTACTGTTTTGACAGCTTGTTTCTAATCTTCCAAGCAGGGGTGTGTTTAAAAGGAGGCATGAAGTGGCCCTGCTTGCCCCTGAAATATAATTTCTTCCCCATCTAGATACTGGAGGTTAGAGAAGGGGGTTGCTTTGATTGACAGGTATCCTGGCACAGAGATTGTAGCAGATTGGTGTCTTCTAATGCATTTTGGAGCATTTTAAATTGAATTATTTGTTGAAAAATATATCCTACTGCATGATACAAACTATCCAAGATGTTTAGCTGAGTGAAATTATACTATTTTAGTAACCTGTTACTTAGAGCCAGTTAGGAGATGTGTGACTGGGAGTTGCACCCATGCAGTTTATTGATGAGGCTTGCAAGCATTAGCAGATATCTTACAGCCCAACAGATATATTCACAAAAACATATATTATATATTGGACAAAATGAGCTTTTTGCTGGTATATCAGCATCAGCACCTACAAACCCCCCAACAAGATTCTGAGAAACGCCTTTCGAACATGTTATAATTGCCAATGTTGTCCACCAGAGGGCACTCTGCAACTTTCCAAATGTATTGGCAATAAGTTTGGAATGGCACATCCTCAACAACCTGCCAATCCAAGCAGAGCATAAACTAATAATCCATGTTTTGTTGTGACAATAAAACAAGATTATTTTTAAACAGTACTGACATAAATAACTACAAATAACAAAAGTTAGGGAGATCTGTTGATATTTTGTGTGTCTGTAAGAAAACCACTGACACTGAATCTTCCAAAACAAAAAAATATGCCTGTGTTCAGTAGACTCTTCTTTAATTTCTAAGTATTGTTGCATTTCACTCAGACCTCATCAAGGACTCACCATACTTTGCCTTGAAAGAGGTAAAAGGTAAACAGAATTCCCTGTGTTGGGTGAGCTGCTCAAAACAAGAAGTAAACCGTGTCTGATTTTCACTCAAATGAAACATTTGAGCACTTATATCACTCAAACATCATCTTCCATCATCAGCAACAAAAGTTAGTCCGCTGTTCTGAAAGGAAAAAAAACACAGCACTTGGAGTTTACCTCAGCTGTTTCCGGCTCAGTAGAAACACAGTCCAGCAGACTGTCTATGTCATCTCCCATCAGCTCGGAGTCCTCGATAGTGCCCGACCTTTCAGGTACTGCAGAGTTAGTAGGTGTGCTGCAGCTGGTAGGTGTGGAAGGAAATGAGGACTGAGGCACGCTGGGGAAGTTGACTAAAAAGGAACAGAAGTGCATTTACTTGGACCATTCTTGTGTTTGTGTACAAAATGATCAAGAACAGAGAGTAACAGAGCCACAAATGTCAAAATTCCCACCTGGTGCAACGCCATTACCATTTTCTACATTACCGCCTGACATCTGGAGAGAAGAACATAAATCGCTGTCAGATTTTTGATAAAATGACTGTGTCCTGTCTGACTATGACTAAGCTGAAGGCTGATAAAGTCCTACAACCCACAATGAACCAGATTTAAACATTTACACACCTTTGCGCTGACGTAAGGTTTTCGAATCTTCAGTCCTAGATGGTTTGCCAGTTCCTGTGCGAGCTCATTCACCTGTTGGTCCTGCCAACAGGTAAACGAATGGATTTACTGATATGCTCCAAGCTACAATTAACATATATGCGATGAACAACACCGAGACTGAGACACAGATAAGTTTATCTCATCTTGTTAAAAAGTATTCATCGTTTCAGTTATGGAAAAAAATGCATTCCTTCGATTGGATGCCTTCATTTTTTTTAAAATAAAAATTAAATGAATAGAAATGCAGACAACTGATTAAATTTTACTAAACATGAATGAAAAAAGGAATGTGATGAAATCTCTCTCCTGACCTCCTCCATACACATTAACATGGATTTAAAGATGCAGAAATTTTCTTCCACTTACATCCTGGACACCAGTATGTCACAGGGCTAAGACTTGGGGACATCTCTCAGGTCCTGTGTCTTTGCTAGTTGTTAATTAGCAAAATTTGGGAATCACCTTGTTGTTATTTTATTTTCACTAAGAATTGGGGATGTGTTTTTGTGACAGGCTGTAGTTACAAAGTGTCTGAAGATACTATTTAAAATTCATTATTTGCTAAGGTCAAAGGAGCTTGCAAAGAAAAGCGTCTGGACTTCTTTAAGTTACTTGAAGACGTTTCACCTCTCATCCGAGAAGCTTCTTCAGTTCTAAGGTCAAATGGTGGAGAGTCCCAGATATAAACCTAGTGGGAGTATCCCCCACAGAGGGACAAAAGGACCCCCTGATGATCCTCTAATCGCCTGAGCCAAGGTGTGAAACTGGGTGTGGGTCCCAATCAGCCAGAGTTTCGGGTGAGTTCATTGTGAAACCTGGCCCCACCTTATCATGCGAATTCCTGAGATCAGGAGATCCCAGGCGTCTGGGAAGGGATCTCAAAACTGGATTATAAATGGCAGAGAGTTGGTGTGACTTGGATGACTGAGAACCTTCACAGACATTATTTGCTAAGTTTCTTGTTATATAAAGACACAGCCCTGGTTCATCCTTTGATGAACCTTAAGTGCCTTTCTTATGCTTGACTGATTCATAGATCAGTGTTCAGTGGCGTAACAGTAATAAGGAGTGGCTCAAGATGTTTACACTGTACTGTATCTTGCTTCTACAAATCAGTGCTGCTGCTGATTTAACCAACAGATTTATATACAGTTCTTACTGAAAACTTTTTATAAGACTAGGGCTGGGCCATATTATACCGTTCACGGTAATACCGGTATAATGTTAGGCAACGATAGGAAAATGAAATATCGCGATAGAATATGAATAGAACGCGCATGCGCAGTGCTTTTGTTTTCATACGCACATGGCCGATTGTTGAGTGAAACAGATGAACCAGAATTGGTTTGTACAAATGGTGCAACTTCAGTGATGTGGAACTGGTTTGGTGTTTGTCCGTCAGATACACGACAAAGCACATTTTTTTGCAGAACATGCAAGCGGCCATCGTTATTGTCGGACTAAGATGCTCTTAAATCTGGGAGTAATCTGGGTCCTAAACTCCGTAATCCTCAGTTCAAACGAACACTGCAGCATCACTGAGATTTAAAAACTGTCTAAATTCTTTCATCTTTAATAAAACGATCAGCATTGCTGCTTTACCAGGTGTAACTATGAAGTTTAACTTCCAGGCATCCATGAAAACAAAAGTTATTACATTTAACGGAGTTAGAAGTTAGCAGGAAGCTAGCGGAAGTTAGCTCGCTAGTTTCGCTAGTTACCTAAGCATGATATTGCATGTTCTGACTGAGAGATTTCTGAAAAAAATCAAACGTACAGCTCTGCTATCACTTCCAACATAAATGAAGACAGGAAACTAAACAGCAGTGACGTTTGTAGGGTTACTGAAGTTGGGCTAGCTGGTATATAATGATGTGCTACGTGATCGCTAGCGACACAGCTATGTTAGCATAACATAAACAGTGAAGCTGGAGGACGAACACTAACACTTTTCCACTTATAAAAGTTAACGTTAAGGTTCCTGATAGTTAGAGACAAATGCAATCGCATGGCAGGATGCTGTAAAAGGACCAATCTTCAGTCAGGAGAACAACTGAGATAATCCATCCACAATACGAGGTTAGTCATTAATATACTGCAACAACATGGGAATAGAGCAGCTGCCAGAGAATTCAACATTAATGAATCAATGGTACAGAAGCGGAGGAAGCAAAAAGAATGAGTTTAATAAAGTTTGATTTATCTGACTGCTTCCAATATAAGACTATCAGCATAAACTCTCCCATTTCTGTCCATCCTTCACCTGAGGGTTAATGAGCAGATAGCTGGCGCTGCAATCGTAGGCCTCCTTATACTTTCCAAGCCCCTTCAAACAAAGGGCCTTCTTGTACAGTGCTCTGCGGCTGTCTTTGCACACCTCCAGAGCACTGTTGCAGTCCAGCACACCTTGTTCATACTCCCCCTGTGGAAAACATGAGAGAAACACACAAAAGAAATCAAAGTAATATACCATCAATTCTTTACTTCCTTTTCCCATCTAGCTTTAAGTAAGACTCTACAAGGTGAAGAAATCACAGTCTCTTGGTTTAAACTGTGTGTAGCTGCTATGGAGCACTTCACTGGTATGCAGGTCAAAGGCTCTGCGGCCTTGAATGCAGACAAACACATCTGAATGATTTAGTGATGTTTACATATTAGAGGCAGTAAATCAGAACAGATCTGTTTTTATAAGTGGTTTCATAAATCAAGTGTGAGGGGTGGGAGGTTCAGGATAGCCTCAGTTATATAGAATGGTAAATCCAAGTTATGCGCTACAGGAAGAATAGCCACTACAATGGATTTCTACCTTTTCTTCTTAATACCGCTGTAGGCTTTGTTAAAGATTAAATTAGATGTTCCATGCTCCAGTGTTGCTCAAGCATTTGATTTTTGCATTTTTTTCTTCCAAAAACAGGGATAATTTCCACAAAAGTAGACATCAACTAAATCATCTATTATTAGCCTTTGTAATCACACATGCATAGATTTGGCAATATCTGTGCTGGCTAATGGTAAACACTGCTGGGCTTGGCTGGATATTCGTGGACACGTGCATGTCATAGACCTCTGGGCCGCTACAGTAGCATATTCAAGCAGGACAGCCTGAAACCGCCTGGGCATGAATTTTATTGTGTGTTTGGACCATTTGGAGACCTCTGTTGTCCCCTTAATGATGAATTTTGATACCTCAAAAAATATCAACAAAATGCGGTTTGATGATCCCAACCTGGTTAACACATTCACCTAATGTGTGAAAGACTTCCAGTTAAAGACCAGAAGGAGGCATAAACCCAACAAAAAAAGCTGTGTCGAGAAGGACGTCCAGCATGAAATCTAATCCATCTTCTGTGGTGACACCTTGTGAATAGGGGAGCTACTCAAGACAATCCAGCCACCAGCAGAGAACGTGAGTCTGGAGCACAGTGGAGGAAGAGCCATGGAGTTCATGTTTAAGAATGTTTACAATTGGTTTTTGTTAAAGTAGAAAATATAGATGTTATCAACTAACCACTCAATAGATATTAAAAGCTCAGGTTCAATCAACAATCATTTCAGGTTGATCCACTTTTATGTGGCTCATGCACATTTAGGTGTGGAGGAGAATTCCTCACAAGCGTTTGTTTCAAAATGTCTCAGCTATGGAAAAGAAAAAGAAAAAAAACCCTCACTCCCTTACATAGTGAGGTAGATAAGCCTTATATGTATTACACATGCTGCTATACTAGAACTTCATCGTGAGATCTCACAGCATGAGACGTTAACCTGCCCCACTTCATTCCTATACCCAGAACGCTGCACAGACACAAGATCAAACGTTATCTCACCAAACTGTGGTAGGCAGCCGCCCGGTTGACATACAGGCTCTCGAGCAAAGCTTCGGGGATCTTGATCTCCTCTGTTTCAGCGTAGCATGACACATTCAAGCCTTCGCTGAATTCTTTGACAGCCTGCTCGCACTGGCCATCCCTGAAGAAGGCGTTGCCCTCATCGAGCAGGTTGCACACTAACTGGGTCAGGAAGTCCTGTGAGGAGCAAAAGAAAAGAAAGGAATAACAAGCTTTTTTTTTAACCTATGCGGACCTGCGCTAACGTCTTGTAAGTTACATTATGTTTTTAAGGTCCACCTTAATATTGACATGCACGTATTTACATTAAGGGGGTTAGTATAGTATTTTAATACCATTCTAAGCAGGAGTTTAAACTGCATTAGAAAATGTTGAATGTGTTTACAATTCATTTGGTTTATGTTAAATCATATATAACTTATTATCACTCTTTCTCATATGTAGAGACATTTCTCCAAAATACATTTCACTTTTCATAGAGTTATGGAGTCACTGTGCAAAAATGGCCCATCGGGAATCAATCTGGGTGCTGCTAATCAAATGTAGCTGATTAACTGGTTTTCAGCAAGTGTGAGCAAATCTATAAAAGCAGAAGTTTTGTCAGGTTGCTGGTCTGGATCATTGGACTTCAAAATGCTTTTCCAAACATTTTGAAGTCCATCACTTTGCAGTGAGAAAGATCATTCACAAGCAGGAAAGCTTTAAGATAAATAGTAATCTTCTCAGGAGTGGAAGTCCCGACAACTTCAACCCAAGGTCAGATTGTGCAATGCTCAGAGAAAATACAAAAGCCCCAAGAGTTGCAGCGCAGACTCTACAGGCCTCGGTTCGCACCTTAAATGTTAAAGTTCATGACAGTACAATTAGAAAAAGGTTGAACAACTATGGTTCAGAAGGATCAGAATCACCAGACTGAAGCAAAGTTGTAAAGAAAAGTGGGCCAAAATTCCTCCATAACTGATAAAGTCATACAGAAACCCAGAGCTCCAAGTCATCGCTGCTAAAGGTGGTTCTACAATCATGCTGTGCACTTAGGACTGCACATAACTAGGGCTGCTCAATTAATCGAATTTTAATCACGATTACGATCTGGGCTTTCAACGATCATTAAAAATGACTGAGCCGATTATTAGCCCCTCCCTCATTTATCCGCGACACCTTAAAGGCCGGTCCGTGAAAATATTGTCGGGCATAAACCGGTCCGTGGCTCAAAAAAGGTTGGAGACCGCTGATTAAGAGGACCCGAGGGAAGCTCGGAAAGCTAAGCAGAAGTTATTTGGAGAGTGACTGCCGTTGGTTGAAAAGAGTTTAAAAAAAAAAAACTTCAGTGGTGTTGCACACTTTTTTATATAATTTTTTTAAAGTCATTGTTAACCCTTTAAAGCCGGTCAGAGCAGCACGCTCCGTTTTGCGTAACTATTGTTAAATCCCTGTAGAACCTGAACCGTGTAAGCTAGCGCAATAATTTGTTTTGCATATGAAACCGGAGGAGTTGTACTTACATCTGATGCCATCAGCTTGTCCTCGGTCACGGTTTCGTTCCACATATAGCTTTGCAAAAATTGCATAAAAAGCGCTTGCAGGAACAAAAACATAATATTCCAGAAACACGCTTTGCCGTTCCTATCAGCTGTTCGTAACACTTCCCACAGTGAAATGATGCACATGCTGTTTTCTTTGCAAATTTGCATCATAGGATTGTTTTTTGTTTTTCCTGCAGTATATAAAAATTGCTGTATCTCCAAAATAAAACTATGAAGACACTCAAAATAAATTTCTTGTGGTGGGAAACTGTTTTTTTGCAACTTTATTGTATTTAAAGTTTTGAGGGATAAACCTCTTAAATTTCTCCAAGTAGAAATATATGTAAACAAAACAAAAGCGATTTTCAATTTTTTTTGTAGTTTATTGCACTTTTTTGCAATTTATGTAATTACTATGGACTTAATGCATACATATTATTAAAATATGGGCTATAACAGTTGTATTGATGTATAGCAACTTGAAATGCTCCCACAAATGGCACTACAACATGTAAAAAAATAATATAAGCTCTGGCGGACTTGGTTCTATAGTAGGTCTTAAAGGGTTAAATAAATATCATCAAATAATCGTGATCTCAATTTCAGTGAAAATAATCGTGATTATCATTTTTGCCATAATCGAGCAGCCCTACACATAACCAAGATTAACTACCAATGGTTCATCACATACTGCTGCATGTTTTATAGAAAATTACTCTGTTTTCTGAGTGCAGAATTATTATATGAAGAGGACTGGGTTCAACTGAAACCCACAACTATAAACAGGATGTTACACAGCAGATGGATCAACACAACCTACAAGACAGCTGCAGAACTCCACAACTTTGCCTTTAGATTTCTGACACTTGCATGAGATGTAACAGAGACAAAGGTGCACTGTTTAATGGTATTCAAGCTGGAACCCCTGAGTCTACAGGTTTCCCTGTGGGGTTTATGCATTGTTCTGGAGGTGTAGAGTGGGGATGTGGTTTGTTTCTTCAACAGTCAACGGTCAATAAACGTTAATAGCGAGCAAACATGGACTGAACTGAGTAATGGGGGAAGATTATAAAGAGTCAAAAGAAAGCTATCCGGCGCTTGATTTTACATAGAGCCAGGAATAGAAAGAAGGAAGGTAGCAAAAAGGACAGAGTGCTTCACACCAAAGCATGCACAGGGCCAGCTGCCCTTTTTATGCACAGGGCATAAAAAGCAAAAGCACATAACAGCATTAGCACTACCTGATAGCCGTCGGGGTCAGGATAGGCCAGGGAAGACCTAGAGCAGAGGAACTTGTTAAAATCGTAATGACACAGCTAGGCTGTGAGGCGTGAGTAACCCAGGGACAGTTTCACTTTCTGTCTGGGTGCGCTCAGATAAAAATTAAAATGATCTTACTGTATAAAAGCCAGAGCTTTGTTTATCTCCTCCTTGCGTTTCTCTCGGCCAGGGTCCATGCTTGTCCACTGGAGTGGGAGACACACAGACAAACGGAGAGGGATTAGGAGGAAATACCAACTTAAGTGACAGTGGCTGTGACAGTGGGTGTATCAGAGCTACTCTTCGATACACCCGCTTCCTTTGAAAGTAGTCGAAAAGAACTGCAAGCCTCTATAAACACTCCCACATTCAGCCTCATTCACCGTTTATCACTGGCGCAAACATCCAGCACGCGAGGCCGTTTGTGAGACCAGCCTGGGCCAGCATCGGACACACCTACCAGTAGAAGAAGAGGAAGCCAGGAAGTTCATTGAGCCGAAGCAAAGTTTAAACGTGTGCCATGCTGTTTCCGGACGAAGACGGAGAGACTTTGACAGGAGCAAACCCCGAGGAGGTTTCGTTTGTAACCGCCCGACACTTCCCTCTCCTCGGATAAGTTTCGATTCTCTGCAGCCTGAGTACATCCAGACAGCTGCAGACCTCCTCCCCGTTACAGGCTGCAGTCACGTGACACGACAAGCGCCCATGCGTCACAAGCGCGCGGCCAACCAGCGCGCTCAGGTCGTCATCGTGACCCTCGGAGACCTGGCGGCGTTTGTTTAGTGCGGCCTGCGAGGAAGACAGCAGTGCCGTGCTGTTTACATTACAAAAATATTAACTCGATTAATTGGTAGATAAATACAGTGCTGTGCAAAAATTTTGAGCCACCCTTGATTTCGTTTGATTTTGCACAAGCAGTCGGACCTTCTCATTTTTTAAGTGCTCTTGAGCACCAGGTATCCGGGCTTTCTGTGGGTCTTTCAAAGGTCTTCTTTGGCTGCTTTTTCTTTCGTTTCAGTTTTGTATGTGACCATGTTTACAGGAGCGTTGTTGTTGATTGTTAACCGACTGAACTCTGATCTTTGAATCATTCAAATATTAAAAAGGCACTTAACTCAAGAGCAGACAAGTTAGAAGAGAACCAATTTTATATTTTTACATTTTAAACAACAACAAAAAACACAATTTGTTCACATTTCTTTAGTTGAATCTACAAAAAAAACCAAAAAAACAAACAGTTTGACAGATAACCACTGTTCATCTACAATCACGATGAACACCGGTGTACCACAAGGCTGTGTGATGAGCCCTTTCCTCTACTACCTCTTCACCCACGACTGCAGACCTGCTGATGGTTCCAACACCATCATTAAGTTTGCAGATGACACCATGGTGATTGGCCTCATCAGTGACAACGATGAGGCCGCCTACAGGGAGTAGGTGGATCGTCTGGCTGAGTGGTGCGACAGAAACAACCTGCTGCTTAACACCGAGAAGACCAAGGAGCTCATCGTGGACTACAGGAGGAATGCTGACCCACATCCACCCATCCACATTAAGGGGACGGCTGTGGAGCGTGTGAGCAGCTTCAAGTTCCTGGGAGTCCACATCTCCGAGGATCTCACCTGGACGACCAACTGCTCCAAGCTGGTCAAGAAGGCTCACCAGCGCCTCTTCTTCTTGAGGACTCTGAGGAAGAACCACCTGTCCTCAGACATCCTGGTGAACTTCTATCGTTGCACCATCGAGAGCATCCTGACCAACTGTATAACAGTCTGGTACGGGAACTGCTCTGCCTCGGACCGGAAGGCGTTGCAGAGGGTCGTGAAAACTGCCCAGCGCTTCGCCGGAGCACCACTTCCTGCCATAAAACACATCTACAGGAAGCGGTGTCTGAAAAGGGCTGGGAAAATCATCAAAGACCCCAGTCACCCATCACATGGACTCTTCACCCTCCTGCCCTCTGGGAGGCGCCACAGGAGCCTCTGGACTAAGACCACCAGGTACCGGAACAGCTTCTTCCCCACAGCTGTCAGACTCCTGAACTCTGCCTCCTGACATCTGACCCACATTAACACATGGACTGAACATACACACACCCACAATGGACAACTGTACCCTCAAACACACAATAATAACATGGACTGAACCACCACTCACAACCACTAGCACTTTATATAGCCTCTGTAGAAACTATCTACACCCTCACTTATCTTAACTGCACTACTGTATAGCTCTGTGTAAATAATCATTCTGTACATTCGATAATCTTTAATCCTACAACTGTTTACAACTTGCATAGTTCCCATTTCTGTATAGCTGTATATCTCAGATTTCTGTAAAGTTATTTATTTCATATTCTGTATAGTTTTTCATATTTATATCCTGTTCATAGCCTGTACATAGCTTGTACTCACTACAGCCTGTACATACTTATAGTTATAGAATATTCACAACATACTTCATACCGTGTACATTATAACATACCATAATAGACCCATTTCTGTAATATACTTACATATCTATATTATTGCTAATATATATTGTAATATATCTATATCACTAAAGCACTTCTGGATGGATGCAAACTGCATTTCGTTGCCCTGTACCTGTGCATGTGCAATGACAATAAAGTTGAATTCTATTCTATTCTATTCTATATAAAATTGTATTTATCCATTACCAAGGTGATTATCTCAGCATGATGTCCAGTGTGTCCTTAAAACATCTGATAAGACAGGAGAAGTGGAGCACAAAAGAAGAAGCAGCAGGCTTAAATGAAGATAGATAAATAATAGATATTTCATTCTGAAGGTTACGTGCTTAAAAATTAGGCGAAATCTAGCAAAGACCTGATACCTGAACCTTCAGCTGATTCATTTACTGTTCACTGAAGCGTCATCAGAAATGGTTTCAGTGTGAAAAGGCTGTCAAGAAGCCATTCTTAAGGGAGGGAAATAGGAAGAAAAGCCTGAGGTGTGGCACAGTATATGTAAACTGGACTTAAAATGATGGAGTTATCAATTCAAATTTGACATTTTTAGAAATTAGAGAACAGATACAAATGTATAAGCACTGTCACGTCTTTTAAAAAGCTATCTTAAATAAACTGAATTACTGTATTATACAAAACATTCACATTTATTCCCAGTTTACTAGACCCCTCTTTTCCTTTTTTTACTCACATCGCAATCTTTGCTGTATTTCCCCCTACATTTTTTAATTTAGTGTATGAAACACTTCAATAATATTTAGAAATAATGATATGAACTGGCATTAAGCTGATGTATAAATAAAGCTGATATTGTTTGATTTACTCTAACTCACATGGTATTTGCATACAATAAAAAATACAAACCATGATACATAATTTCTTTACAGGCATAACTATACAAAATAAAATTCAGAGGGGTTTTATTTTGGTAATATGATAATATTTTAACAACCAAAAGCAAGGTTGTTGCGCCCCACTTTGCCTGCTGCACTGGAAACCTGTCAAACCTGTTTGTAAAGGAGATGATCAAGTTTGAGCATAAAAAATGGTTCTTAGTTTAATCTGAATGTACTACATTTCACTTTACAAAATCGTTATAAATGGTTTAATTTCTGTTATGCGGTCAAACTACATGGATGCATGAGGTGGTGATGAAAAAAATGTTAGATAGATGAAACAGCACCATTTTGGAGGGGAAGAAATGATTGAATCAGCCAATCAGAAGCTGGTAAAGTGCTGTAGTGTTGGTGAGAAGGCATGCTTCAGACTAAAAACAGCAAGGACAACAAGGATACCTATATAATACTGTGATAAACTGATGATTAACTAACGGTTCATCTTATATTTGTAAGGTATTTTAAACCTTTTAAGCACTAAGACAAAAATTGAACTAAAATCACACAACTATGGGTACCATAATATTTCCTGAGTCCGCACAGTCACAGCACACAGAAGGAAATTTTGCGTTTAGCAGAGCAGATCAGCACAGTCAAGAGATGATGAATCACATGATCATATCCTGTAAGTGTGACAAATAGAAGGAGATGACCTCTGATCTCTATTGAAATAAAACTGCCGCCCTTTAGCGCATCACAGGCTCTGGACATATTTAACTTAACGAGCTAGGGCCTACCAGCTCTGACATCCACAAGAATAAAAGCAGTTTGACAAAGCCTGCATAAATATGCCATTTGTTGACTCGTCTTCACCCCCATACACATCTGGAATATATCAGAAAGAGGCCCACCATCACACTGCTGTATGGCACCTACAAGTGTCTGAAATTACAAAGGCAGCCCTCAGAGGAGAAAACGTGCAGTTTGACCTCATGACTGAGGACACACACAATCACATGCAGGCATAAGTGTTCATAACTCCGAGTTTAAAGTTTCTGGTGATCATAAAGATATGCAAAATCACCATTCAGATGGTAGTGAGACCTGCTATGATGTTTAGTTTGGAGACGGTGGCACTGATAACAAGGGAAGAAGCGATATTGAATATATGGAATAAAGGATGTTAAAGATGGAGCTGCCAGTTAAGAGGATAATAAGAAGACTACAGAGAAGATACATCGATGCAGTGAAAGAGGACATGCAGAGAGTTGATGTGAAGCGGATGGTGAACTCTAAAGGGAACAGCCAAAAGAAGAACAAGAATAAAAGAGGATCTCTGTAATGTTGCAACTAGTTTGTATTTTCCATGAGAAATAAAACATAACAAATTGGCATGGCAGAATATTTTCGAAGATTAATGGGTTATTAACATCTCAGGATTTGTTGCTTTTGTTTCTGATTCACTTCCTGGCTGACCTTCGTATTTTATTTTTGTAGTTTGGCTGAAGTTCTGATGCTGGCTTGTTTTAGACAAGTAATCTAAAACTTCAGTATAAGAACAAAAGCTATTCATTAAAGGCAAAGAAAATAAATAAACAAATTAAAAAACAAACAAACTTCAAGATATAAAGGTTATGAGGCTGCTTTTTAATTTTTGAAGACAGACTAATATTTTTGTTAAGGTCCTTCCTTACCAGTTGGTGGCGGTAATGCACCATTTTCGCTGATAAAACTCACGAAGAAGAAGAAGAAGAAGAGGCGCAATAGCGAGGGAGCGACCCGCCGGACTGTATTCAAGCGGCACAGCAGTGTTGTGGTAATGACAGCATTCATTTATATAAAGAGTAGACTCATGTTTAGCTAAAACGCGATTTAGGGTGTGTAAAATAACTAATTCAACCCGAGGGCTGGGGCTAACCTCGGCGCTGGCCAACTTGAAAGGTTTGCTAACAGATGACTGACCGAGCTGTAACCACGTTGAATGGACCTTTGCTAGCACGTGAATCTTTTCTGTTCATATTCGCATAAGAAAATATGTAATTATGGCATAAAGATGGATTATAAATTCCAGAAACGATCGTAAAGGCTCCACGGACACGAGCCTGTTACAGTTCATGCAGGTATATTAGCATAACGGTAGTAACGTTAGCCCATGCTAGGCGCCGGTTGCTTGTAAGAGGAAATCCACCCCAAAACAACTCTGTCTCAGTGACCGTTACGTCAAAGCTGTCGGCTGTCTCCGGGTATTAGACGAGCACACAGAGTGCAGACGTTATGTAGGAGACTGTAGAGATTACTGGTTACACAGTGTAGACATGGGAGCTCCGGTGGTTTTCCAGACTTAAAATCAGTGTTTGAGGTGCATTATTCCCTCAGTGGAACAAGCGCTTTCAGCTGTTTTTGTGTCGCAGTAAGGCTA